TCATAAACCAATAGCAACTACTAAGATTTCCCTCTTTCCCTAAATTAAGACATTTTACGGATTTTACTTTGCAAGATTTTCCCTAACATATAACCAAGGAGCGCAACTTTTCGTGTGCACTTTTACTCATTCTCATGACTGCTCTTGTCTAATAATTAATAAATAAATTTTGTACCCTCCTTCCCGACCTATGACCTGTTTTAATCCTTCCACTCGGCAACGACGTTATATATATATATACGTATATATATAATATATATATATAAACAAAATTCTACATTTAACTCGATCCTCAAAATGAATTTTTCTAAACAAATCGGTATTTTTTATTCGATTACAGTAATTTTCAGTTATGCACCGCACAATCAATTAGAAATAGGTCCAAATAATATAAACCTGAAACAAACTAATGTAAAATAGTTTTCCATGGGAAAAAAATTAATCATAAAATATTGTTAAGATTTGCATTTGGTAAAGACTTTTAGAAATTGACGAATACGTTTGATATTTGGCTGATAATTTTAAATCCATAGCGCATATATATTTACAGTGAAATAGAATTAAAAAAAAAAATACCGTTAAATGAGAAATAAATGATTTATAGATAAACTATTACGTTTATTAATTTCATTTTAATTCTAAAACAATTCGAATCGTGAAGCTAAAATTGCAATTTCGAATTCTTGATTGCCATTTTGTGAAGTTCAGATAATTCGGATTTAGTTAATACTAATATCTATGGGGAAAGATTTCCCACTCTTGAGATGCTTCCGCAATCATTGGAACAATTTGCCTATTTCGAAACTCAGCTGAATATCATAAAAAACTAGATATACAGATTAACAGATTTAAAATTCAACTATAGTTTGTCTAAAATAAGAACTCCTGCAGACATTCGTCTGGACCTGTGACGGTGGCTATGGTAACGAGGTATGACTATTTCAAGTAGGGGCGCGGGGTCACTGTTTTGGATTGGTCCGAGATCAGCGAGAGAAAGGGAAACTCATTCTTCTTTCTATTGCGTTAGTCCTAGAGTGAAGCTACCCTCCCCAAAATACGCCATTCTTGTTTCCATAACACCAGGCTGCCTCAGACTTTGTGGCGGGAGGAGTTCTTAGCTTAGACAAACTATAATAAGGTCAAATATTAGTAATGAATAATAAAAACTTACCGACTGTAAACTCTGCAGGTCAAGTTATTAATCCTTTTATCCGATTTGTATCGCCGGAAATCTTCAAACCAATCTTTAATCGCAGTCACACCGAGCACAAACATAACTGGAATGATAGCTATTTCTTTGCCAAAAGCGTTAATCTTTGGCACCCAGTTTAGAAGCACTATGCCAATGAAATATAAATTGGCTATCCTGTGGAATTGTTCGAAAAGGTTCTTTGGAATGAAAGATAGAATGGTGTACTTCGTGGTTCGAATCCGATTGCAGGCATATCCTTTGTGGGGGTGAAGTTTCGGGGGAACATTTTCTTGCAGGGTGACATTATTCATAACGATCCTCAGGGGCTTATCTGGAGGCCTTTTCCTGTTTTTCCAGAAAAAGAACCTTTGGAAAAAGGAGAATGGACGATGGACAGTCACATCCGCAGAGTCGGCGACTGAGTAGCTTCGATCCTCTGACATCTCGTCACTAAATCACATTACATAAAAAATAAGTTGACACAAATATTTTAAATATATATACTTCAAATCACTAAATAAACAGTACAGGAACACCATAGTAACAGTTACTAAACAAATACCAATTAAACAATTATCGATTAAGTATCTCCATGATCAAATAAAAAAATTGAATGAAGTTTGTCTCTACAATACAGTCATAGAGTTAATATCGTTAGTAGTTAAAGTATTTTAAATTTTTTAAACGAGATCTCAACTGTTTTAAAAATTTTATGAGCAAAAGTAATTATAAAACTACAACAAATAATGTACAAGTATAAAATACAATTCGTATAAAAATAAGTAAGTGTGAAAGTTTTTCAATGACATGAAAAAGTCTAATTACATTTGCAACATCATTAAAAATAAATAGCAATAATGCGTGTAACCAATAATACTGGAATAATTAAATCTTTGCATATGTTTTTATTCAAAACCATTTCGAAACAAAATTTCATAAAAATACAAAAAAAAAAATAATAATAATAATAATAACAATAAAATCCGATATTTTTTAGGGGAAATTGAAGTGTGTTGAGCTTTTTAAAATATTTATGTATTTAAAGTAAATTTTAAAATAAATAACGACAAGAAAACTTATGCTCAATAATAATGAAACAAATTTACTTTTGATAAATAATGCCAATAACTGCACAAGAGTAATGTGTTTCAAATAAAAAATTACTTTTTTGAAGAAAAAAAAATTGACTATACCGATCATACCAATTATTAGAGAGTATGAAATTCCAATTCTTAGTATTTATTGCGAACTGCATTGCAAATCATTTTATTTTTCTAGTGGCTCAGCAAAAAAAAATAATATAAATGAGATAAAAAAGAATTAATAAGTAGCAAATTGTGAAAACTTTTGAATATTTTTTTTCAAAAATATTAGTAAAAATATTTTAACTAATGAAAATTAACAATAATATGCCCTTAACCTAACGTATTGTCAAAATTTTTAAAAAAAGGCTGATAATTATGATATAAATAACTATCGCAAGAAGTGCATAAAATTTTTAATGCAATATTTCAAATGGAATATTAGTATTTTTAGAAATTTTATAAGAGCCTTTGGAAACATACAAGAGGTGTATAATGCTAAAAATTGTTCATTAATGTAAAATTTGCAAGGAATAAAATTGTAGTTTATAATAAATATTATCGAAACAAATATTTCAACTCTTTATTAAAATAAACCATATAGGAAAGAGGGGCCATATAGGTTTTCACAAATTTGCCAAAAAAGTTTTCTAATCATTATTTAGAAATCTTGTATTTCTTTTTTTAAAATTTGAGCGCTTACATTAATTTCGCAGGTATCTTCCTTCGAAATTAAATAATTAATTTGGATGCATAGTTTTTAATAACCTCTTTTTTTAATAAAAAAATAAAATAAAAAACTTTTTTGTCTGCACGTGCTCATTATCATAGGATTAATGTGGACACGTCTTAAAACTTATTATTTAATCTAGTTTTACTTAATAAAAACAGCACATACAATTCTAATAAAGCTAATTTTAATTTAAAAATACAATCTTGAGTAAAAATGATCTCAAAACTCTCTAGAATAAGTAATGTTAAAGCCCAATAAATTAATAGATTTTAACTTTTTTTCTTTTACCAAAAAGTCTTTTTTGAACATTTAAGGGGGTTGAAAATGTTACTCTTCGCTATTTTATTGCTCCTATAATGAAGCTGATTTACAACGATTTGTCTATCATGATATATAAACAATTAAAACAAGACCTGATAATTGTGCAGCGAAGTTCTAGAGCGATGGCGAAATTAATTAAACAAGTCTTAGTTGTTATTACCTTAGTTGTTATTGCACTAGCATTTTAAATATTTCAGGAATATACAAACTCCGCAACTTTGAATGTGTTAACATTCATCAGGGTCCCTACAATTTGTAGAAAAATTTACTAGTGGTAACGAAAATAAAGCAAAGTTCGTGCGTTTAATAATTTTTTAACCACCGCTATTTGTTATTTCATAAAAAAAATATATCTGTATGAGAATTGTGCCCTCTAACATGAACGTAAATTTACTACCACTAAAAGACTGTTGACATGCCCACAATAGCTCCGTGGAATCATTAGTTTGTTAAAACTCATTAATGATAAATTTATAAAAAAATCAATTAAAATATGTAATAAAAATACTCATTCACTACATAATAACTCGTATTATTAAAAAGTGATTAATAAAACTAATTTAAAGATGCAATTAAGAAGTTGCTTTTTCCCTTTAAAATCCTAGAATTTAAATTTGCTACCAAACAATCTATTGTTTTGTCGTGTAACTTTATACGAAAATAAAATGCAGTGCTGTTATTCTCCCAAAAACTTACAGAAATTCTTCGAGTTATACAGAAATATTCCATTTGTTTGTTCTAGCCCCATATCCACCCTAACCCTATTCTTCCCTACATATTTATAATTTTTATACGTAAAAAATGTAAAGCATCTAAGAAAAATTTTACAAAGAGTCCTCCAAAAATTTCTTTGAATTTTCAAGAAAATTCTCTTAGCTAACTTTCAGTTTGATTCATCTATAATTAAATTTAACGAAATTAACTTTAATTAAAGATTTCATTTGAAAAATTTCTGGAATTGAAACCCTCATTACTTAAAAGACTTATAATAAAATTAATAAATAATTAAAAGTCTTATCTTTTTAAATTATAATAATTTATATCTTTTACAATTTTTTTCAGTTTATATAATAAACAATTTAATATGCATAACCTTTTTTCATAAAATTCAAACAAATTAAGGGGAAAAACAACCGTAAACATTATAAAATGCGACTTGAATACAGATTAACAAAATAAATTAATGTAACATAATTTTAAATCTAAATTAAGAATTACAAATGTAAATTTTTTTTGAAATTTCGCGTATAATTTATTTTAATTTGACAAAATATTAAAAAAAGGACACAATTATATATTTTGTTTGAATTTTGTGAAAATAGCAATGTTATAGTAATTAATTTTATTTTGATACATTTTTATAATGGGGTATTACAGTATTGTAATTTTTAAAGCCAATTATGTTACATATATATACATACATATAAAATTTTTGAATAGAAGAACTATTATGTAACAAAATTTAGTAGCATATCCCGAGTCACACAAATTCTCAAAAAGTGTATAACCTTTAAAGAAAATTATTATTGCTAAATTTTAAATAAATAAATAAATAAAATATTCGAACAAAATTTTTATTCTATTGAAGTCAATTATTTCCTTAAGTATATCGTACTAAATAGGTATAGGTTATATATGTAATCTATTTTTAAGAATATAATTTTTTTTTTATTCAATAACTTTTTAACATACATTTTTTTAATTAACTAGTAAATTTGGATTATTTCAAAAAAATTTAATTCAATAAAATTATAGGGTAAAGAACTGTTATTTATAAAAAATTAAAATCTAACCTTTTTCATTTCTTTCATGATTAGAAACTCTGATATCACTTCGATATACATCCGCAATTTTTAATACTGTGTATTTAACATTGTGAAATATATCCACAGTTTTCTTGCAATCAACTAGACATAAACAACAGTCACGTTGCGAATGATCATTTTGAATCTGGCATTTTTCTCCGTCTATCTTCGCCTATCGCGTTATTTTCGTTTTCTTATCTTCTAAAGCGGGAGAGTTGAAAAACAAAATATGATTGGCTGGTAATATTTTTTCATCGAATGAAAAGTGGAATCATAAATGATGCAATCTCCGTATTCACCAATGAAAACGTCTTTTATCAAAGTTGAAGTAGTTGGGAGACGAATCTAAATTTTATTAAATTTTAAATTGGTACAAAATTTTTCTTTCATGAGTGAATTAAGACATTAATAATGATCATTAAATATACACCCTAAATACTATTAAAAATTAGATTTTTTTTTACTAATCTAGTTTGACTTCATTCGGTGCATTCCCGTTAAACTGAAAAAGAAGAAGAAAATATGTACTATTATTTTACGAACTAAATGGAATCACTCGTTTGATCGTATTCAACTCAAGGGTTTTTAAATTAGTGTTTAGATTATACTGACAATAACTACAACTTTCTTGATTTCCACATCCAGTCACATAATAAACAACGTTTGTCCTCTTGACGTTTTTGTGTTGTAAACATGAATGTTGTTTATTTACTTAGGCATTTTTCTTCTTTTATTATAATTTTAAATCAATCTTTATTTTATGGTTCAATAAATAGTCACAAAACTTGAAAATGCCGAAAAAATCAAAAGGAAAATTCAAGCCCTATTGCAGAACCATGCTTAATTGCGATGGAGCTGAAATCTACAGAAATCCTTCTGTTGCTTTGGATGGAACTGATCCCAAGATGTCCCTTAAGTATCTTAAAGATATATTTCAAGGAAAAATTGATGAAGATGTCATAACTATGGTGTTTTCTGAATGTGCTTATGACGGTATAATGATTTAAAACTAGATTGTTTACATTTAGTGTTTTTTATGAAATTGCCTATTTAATCTTTTTCTTTCTGCTTACAACTTTGTAGTTATCCATTTTCCATCTAAATCTATAGGTGTATAATAATATTCATAAGTTAAATTAAACATATAATTAATATTGAATAATGAATAAATGCACATTTATTCTAAATATTTGCTTTGATGCATAAAATTTTAGGGCAAAACAAAATGATAAAGTTATTAGGGCTAATTATTGTTAGTTAGTATTAGGTTAAGTTATAACGGCGGATATTTCCGCATCCTGCTCGTCTTTCAATGTGCTTGTCTTTGGAATCAGCAGAAATCAATTGATTTACTCTTAACTTATTTCATTATATTGAGATGTGGCAGTAATTTATGAAACATATTCTTAATGTTTTAAATGAAAGCAATTTAAATGGTGTTTTTAACTCATATTCAATTTTTAGCTACTCGGGCGCATAATTCGTCAGACCGTCCATCATACTCAGGTGTCATCTATAAGTGTATGAAAAAGAGAATAAATCTTGAATGCTAAACATAATTTTTTCTGGAAAAAAAAGTATCTATACATTTTTAAAAAAAAATTTAATCTCTCAGAATTGCTTTCAAATATGCCATTTTATAATGAAAAGAAAAAATTATGTATCAAAACAAATTCTTGAAAGAAAAATTTAAAGCTGAACTTCTCAGTTTTTCAATAACTGTATTTTCAAGAAAAAGTGAGGGAAAAAGAATCAAATCTAATAGAAACCCTCTAATTTGCCATGTCATAATGTAAACAAAAATTTTTTAGAAAACAAAAAAGCTAGATGGAACTAAAACAAAAATCATTCAGAATTTTTAAACAAAGACTTTAACGTCAAAAATCTTACTTTAACATTTTTATATTGCCACCGTTTTTAAAAAAAGTGATGATGACAAAAATTACGTTTATTAAAAGTTGCTATGGCATAATAAAAGCGCTGACAAGAAGAGAAGTTAATAAAAAAAAGGAAAAAAACAAACAGGAAGAAAATATTCTTATTTCTTTAAAACGTAACTTTAATGTTGAAAATGACAGTTTTCTATGTTTTTGTTTATCTATGTTAACACTTCATTAAAATGCCTCTCTGTGTTAAAAACAGTAAAACACCAGAAATGAAACAAAAATAATCTGATAAGATAATTTTTTTAAACAAATATTAATAACAGAAGTAATTTTTTTAAAAATTAAATTCAGGAAAATGTAAATGAAAAGAAAAATTTATATAAAAAAAGGCAAGCGAAAAACAAGAAAAAAAAGAAACTTTTTTCTTAGTTTTTGAAACATAAATTCAATGCTGAAAATCACAGTTTTCTGTTACTGGTTGTCTATATTCAGGGTTGGCAAGTTTTTGACAATTGACGATTTTATCCAGTTTCAACCCTAGATGTATTTGTCATGTCAAAAAACTATTTTTGACAAGTGTCTAAAACCCAAGACTGTCGTATAAGAATAATTATTAGCTAGTATCCATGAAGAAATGCACATATGAAATTACAAGTGATATACCAATTATGTTTTTAAATTATTTTGACATTAAACTCTCTTTTTGTTTGGACAACTACTGTCAAGAACCCTAAATTTGATGTAGAAAATTCTAAATAACTATAAATAAAAATGTTAAATTTATCAAATCCGTTAATTNTAATGCATGGCAACTGTTGGTAGTTTTGAAGTTTATATATTTTCTTGGCAAACTTCAGTTTTTGACATTTTTGACGGTTTAAACCAGTATTATACCCTTGTCATGTCAAAAACCACTTTTTGACGTCAAAAACCCAACCCTGCCTAGATTTATTCGTCATGTCAAAAAACTATTTTTGACAAGTGTCTAAAACCCAAGACTTTCGTATAAGAATAATTATTAGCTAGGATCCATGAAGAAATGCACAGATGAAATTGCAAGTGCCAATTACCAATTATGTTTTTAAATTATTTTGACATTTGATGTAGAAAATTCTAAATAACTATAAATAAAAATGTTAAATTTATCAAATCCGTTAATTTTTTTGAAATATTGAAAATATAAATACAAAAACAATCAAATTAACAACGAAACTTTCAACAATTATCATGTTCATTGTATGTAAAATCAATTTTCATTTACTCCCATTTTAACTCTTCCTTTCTCTGAAGCATGTGATTACAAAAACGTTTTGAATTCCAAATTCATTTTTCAGTTTTGTATGAATAAGACCGAAATTCAAAACTATTCTCTCAATTGTTGCTGAGCTGCATAGACTAGAATGTAGATCTACTAAAGATATTGTAACATAATAAAATAATATGTTACTACGAAATTTATTCTAATAGCTATACTGAATATTAATAGTAATTTAATTGAATCCTTGAATTGATTGATTGAAAAAATTATTAGCTCAGTCAATTAAACAATTATATTTTTTCTAAATTATGATTAGTTCACTAATCAGGGGTCTGTCTAGGTTTTTCTGAAAGGTACCTACTTTGCGAAAATTTTGACATAATTTGTGAAAAATTAAAAATTATATTAAAAAATCAACACAAAAATATCGATTTATCGTTTCATCAGGGATACAAAAATAAATTTTAAGAAAAGTATTTTGTGAAATTACCGTTTTTCCTAAAGTTGAATTTGTGAAGCTACCGTTTTACCTAAAATTGAATTTGAGAAGGTACCGCTAAACGGTAGTGATTTCGGCCCGGACAGACCCCTGCTAATCATAATCTAATTATCATTAGTTTGCTAATATTAGAGATATTCATGTACAGTATGCTAAACTAAAAGAAAGAACCAAAGGATTTTGAAAAAGTCATATTTTTAAAATTCGATTTCTCCTGATTTTGTTCAAATTTCGTATTTTACCATTTAAAATTAAATTCTTTAAAATAATGTAAAAAAATTTTATACCTTACACTTCAACAATTTTTAGACTGTTATTAAATGAAATAATAAAAAAATAGTAAACTGTTTCTAACAAAATATTTTGTGGAAATTTTTTTAGACCAAAAATTTCCCTATGGCTGCCTGAAATTCCTCTAAAGCCTTGTTCGTGCGGTTAGAGATATTCCTGCTCCCCTGAGTGCAATGAATAAGAAATATTGAGGATCAATGATAAAATGTTATGCATTGAGATCCTACAATTGTTGATGATCAGGCCGGGATAGCCTGGTCGGTAGGGTGCTGGGCCCATATCCAAGAGGTCGTGGGTTCGATCCTCGCCGGCCGAAGACTCCCCGTGTAGTAAATGGTGACTGATGCACGTTAAATCTGTCGAGTCTCAAAGTCCTCCATGTTCCCACAACAAATCAATACCTCTGGGGGAACTGATCCAGGAGTTTCCTTGTCTTCTGGATTGGTTCAAAATTACAAGGCTACGGAGTTGAACGTAAGTAGTCGTAAACCCATGAAATTGGGTCGGCTGTCCAACGACGGTTATAAAATAAAATAAAAAATTGTTGATGATCACTTTCATTTCACTTAATCTAAAAATTATGCCTAAATTGTAATGGAAAATAATTGAAATCAATATTTAGATTGATAATCAATAACAACTCATAGTTATTACCTGTAATGGAAACCAAATCGTTATAATATGGATCTTAAAGTATTTGGAGTACTATTAGAAAAACCAATTAATAGTTTTGACTAAATTTTTTATACGTGATCTGTAATAAAAATCATAATTATAGTTGTAGGTATATAATGCAAGTTTTGTGTCTGATTTAGTGACACTTTATTACATTAATAAAGTGTCTCCAATGTTAAAAAAAGAAACTTGTCCCAGGTTTTTGATAGTTTTTGGCACTTTTCAAGACGTTTTTTACATCAAAAATCCAACCCTGTTTATATTGCATTATGGGAAAAAAGTGATAAAGTATATTAAGAGCAAAAAGTGTTGAAAAAACAATGAAATTTACTTGCCTGGATTTTAAAAAATAGGATGAACAAAATTCCAGAATCAGCATTAAATAATCTAGTTTTAATTCTTCAAATTTCGTTTCTCCGTTTGTCTTCCAGTATAAATTATTAGATATATTCCATGTGTAAATTTGCAAGCTGTGTGGCAAATCTTAGAACTTGAGCAAAGTTTAGCAAGTTTTGAAATGCGTATAAAATCTATTACTAATATTGAAAAGTAAAAAAAATATAATTTTAGATTTATTATTATTTTTTAATTATTCAAATTCTGAAATAAACCTTTGTCGGATATTTGGCTGAACAGTCGACCAACCGAATATTCTGCAAAAGGACAGAGTAAGCCGAATATTTGTTACATCCCTAATAAAAGTCGCTGTGTTTTAAGAGCTCAAAAATAAGTGCCCATTCTCAAGACTTAACATGCATGAATGAGGAAAACAAAAATAATTTCAAACAGAAAACATGAAGTTGCCAACGAAAAACAAAAATGGAAATACGAGAAAAAACAAACTAGAACTGTTTTATTCTCGACTACCACAATTTTTCTAGTTTTTTTAAATCTTTATTTACTATTTTATTGATTGGCAACTCTATGTTACTAACTGTTAAAATATTGAAATAGATTTAGCAAATTTTAATACCTGTTTTCTCGAAAGCTTATTTGTATATTTTGAATCATTTTTAATTTATCTCATCTGTTTTATTTAGTGGAGCAAGCTGTTGAAACTTTAATGAAGCTTAGTAATACTGAAGATACGACTAGCATATCATCATCAGTTAGTGAAGATTCAAGAAACAGTGAGAACTATGCCTCACAAGTATCAGAAGATGAAGTATCAAATCAATCTAAAGAAGATTCTAATTTAAAGGACAGCTTTTCTAAGTATCTTTCTAATGTAGGAAGTGTCGATTCATTCTCTGCAACACCAATAAATGATTCAATGTATGCTTCTAAGATAAAGACACAAATGCAGGGCACTTACCCTTCAAATGTAATGTTTCAGGGACAAAATATGGGATTTCCATGTCCATATCAGTCCATGCCTCAGTATAGTAATTTTTATGATCCTTGTCTGAGTTATTGTCCTCCAAATGAGTCTCATAATTTTCCTCCTAGTGGTTACTCTCAGCAATTTTCATCTGCACCTTACATGAACTATGTTCCGCAATTTGTAACGCCTTTTGCAAGAAACTCCTCCTCTGCATCTTTAAAGTCTCCTGATAAAAAAGAAAATTTCACCAATGGTAGTTCTAAAAGCTCAAATCAAGTCAAATCTCCCTTTAAAACCTTTGAGGAGAGAAATAAGAAGGATAGTATTTATAAATCAATTGTTAAAAAAATAAAATCAAACTTGCGTGTTTTGATTATTTTGCGAGGTTTACCAGGCAGTGGTAAAAGTAGTTTAGCTAAAAAACTGAAGCATTCTGGTGTTATATTAAGCACGGACGATTTTTTTGTGCACAGAGGTAAATATATTTTTGACTGTACAAAACTTGATGAAGCCCATGCTTGGACAAAACGGCGTGCACAAAAAGCTTTTGTTGACGACAGATCTCCAATTATCATTGATAACACTAATACAGAAGCTTGGGAAATGTTTCCTTATGTTGCCTTTGGTAGAAAATATGCTTATGAAATATTTATTTTGGAACCAAATACTCCTTGGAAGTTTAGACCCAGAGATTTGTCGTTGAAAAATACTCATGGTGTTCCAAAGGAAAAAATAAAGAAAATGCTTGAAAGATATCAGCATAATGTCACTGTAGACTCTATAATACAACATTTAGATAGCTTAAACAGGCCAGCAGAAAACTTATCTAGAAAGAGTATTCCATCACAAATAGAAGACATTGAAAAGTACCAGCAAATATTGTTAGACAGCGTTTCTTTCGAAGCCGTCATTCACCATGAAGAACCATCTAAGGCGGATGATGTTCCAATGCCTTTGCAGTCAGATCAGCAATTTAATAGTTGTACTCAAAATTTTAATGAAGGTTTGTTAGACGCAAGGGAAAATGTAAATAATGTTGAGAGTATTGTCTCTGACAAAAATCTAAGGATTTCTAAATGTGAGTCTTTAAAGAATTTGAAAAAATTTACATCTTTAGTTGAAATTGATAGTGAGGAAACACAAAGTGCAAGTTCATTGGAAGAAGTTACTCCTCCTCAAGACAAAAAATCTAAGAATGATAATATTTTATCTACTTTGCACTCTGAGCAGCAACCCTTTGATTCTCCTAAAAATCTAAATGGATCACTAATTGATGTAAGCGGAAATAAAACTTTTGATGAAATCTCCCATAAAGAGTTTAATGTTGGTGGAGATAATAGTATAAAAAGTTTAGAAGAATTAAAATCATTAGTTGAAGTTGATAGTGAAGAGACGCGTAGTGCAACCTCGTGCGAGGATGCTGATTGGGTTGATATCACTGAACATGATGAAGATTTTTACTGGAAAGATGTTTCTCAAAATGAATTATCACTATCATTTGTGACCGATTATGAAAATGAACCTGAAGACCAAAAATGTAAATCTGATAGTTTAGAGCATGATTTAAACTTACATTATGATACCAACAATGGTAATAAAATATCTTCAAATTTAACCCATGACAAAGTAAACCCAGAATCAGAACTGAGTGAGAAAGTTAAAAGTCTCAGTTTTGTTGAAGAAATGTTAACTAAAAATTCAAATCACATTGAGTTTGGAAATGAGAATAGCCCTCTTGATTTGAGTTGTGTTAAAGTTACAAAAAGTATATCTCTGAATAATTTAAATAAGCATATAATTTCTCATCCTGAATCCAATATAAAAAATATTAGCGTTGATTCAGTGAATAAGAATGCAGATAAAATAAGCTGTTCTCTACCAAAAAGTTTTCCATACGTAAATCAGCCAATTTTACTAAATTTTAATTTAAATGAAACATCTCTGAATAATCAAACTTCATCTAAAGATAATGTATGTGCAAAAAATGATAAAACAAATGGCATAAATTTAAGAAATAAGAACCTACAAGATAGTAATTATTTGGATATTTCAAAAGCTCCGAATAGTGCTTTATTTACTGACATTAATGATGATGCTAAAAAATTATTCCCAGAGTCTGAATCATTTAAAAAGGATTCTACTAACAAATATCGTTTTGCATCTTTAACACCTTCCAAATCGCTTGAAATTTGTGATCCTAAGCCACCAAGGTCTAACAAAAGAACTAACTCATCCAAAAGTCTTGATAGTTTTGACCAAGATAAACAAGTATCCAATTCCTTTATGCTAGAAGAATGTCAAGAATGGGAAAGTGAAAATGACCATGAATCAAACCTCACAGGTAGTCATCTCGAGATTATAGATATTTTGCCACCAGTACCAAAACCTCCAAGAAAAATCTTGGATAAAAAAGAAAGTAGCATTGGAGAATTTATTTCAAATACTTCTGAAAATTCTATGGAGATAGAATCTAAGAATAATTTACCTGAAAATAAAAATTTATCTAATGTTCCTGAAATTAAAAGAAGACCCTATCTATTTAAAGATGCAAGTTTGCATATAGATACAGATTGGAAATTTCCGGAATTCATACCCAGCCATAGTAAAAATGATGACATTCTTGTTGACACTACTGTTGAAGTTTGTGAAACATCTACTCTCACAGAGCCATCGGACTTTGTAATCATGCAGAAGTTAGAGGCAGGAGAATATGTCTCGATGAATTATAAAATCTTAATCCCTTCCCTTGACTCAATATGTTGGCAAGATACTAATGAAATGCATTTTGAAAGTAGTGAAAATATATCTCAAGTGGCAAAATTTGAAAAAAGTACAAGTACTGATGATTTAGCTTTAGAAATTGAAAAATCAGAGAAACTAAATCGTGTCCAAGAATGCTTTCCTGATGTTTGTGAAGATGATCTGTTACACCTTTTGGATTTGTGTCACGGAAATGAAATTTGGTTGACAAATTTGCTTTTAGATTCTGGATATAAATACAATTTTACAAATGTTAATAATGATGCTACGAAAATAGAAAATATTGACTCGTCTATTACCGAACCATCTCTTCCCAATGCTAGTCAATCCATCATGAATAGTTCACTAAATTTCCAATCTAATCAGTCAAGCCTTGACCTCAAGGAGAAGAATGTTAAATCTGATTTTGTAATTACTAATGAAATGTATGAAAACTCATCACCTATTAAGCACAGGATTCCTTGTCAATTGATGACAGATGATAATTGCAAAATTAATTCTGATGAATCAATTTCACAGTCAAAATCTGACATGACTTCTATAAACAATTTGCAGCTTTCTCTTGATCCTGCTTTTGCTTACCAGTTAGAAGAACTTTTCGGTCCAGTTGTTGAAAGGGAGTGTAATGGTAATTGATATTTGCTTAGGACCTTTTTTATTTGTTTTTAATAATGCAGTAGAATATTAGATTATTTGATATTTTTTGGAAGTTGGGAGAGAGATTAACAGATACAACCAATTCTTTAAATATAAAAATAAAACTTTATTTTCAGTTTTTCAAATTTTCTACAAAAAATTATCTTTTTATCCAGCAAATTAATGTAATGTTTTATCAAAAAATTAAAAAGTTTTAACATATTTTAAGATATAACTTGTTAACAGTTCTAATTATAACTATCACAAAATTTGAAATTTATTTTTTTCACTGAATTTATTATTATATAACATTAATTTTGTGTATAATAATACTTTCAATACTTTTGAATCCGTCGCCCCAGAAAAAAAGAAAACATAATTATTACTATGAAGTTCTGTCAGATAAAGATAACCTGTCAATAGTCTCAATGTTCTAGGAAAAGTTTTATTTGGGTTTCTATTGTAATTTTGGCTCTCAGCCAATTGCAGGTTGTTGCTTGTTTATCATAACTTTCTAAACTACGTTGAGATGTTGGGACTCTAGTATAAACAGGTGTCAAGCAATCTGGGTTCTACTGCAGTATTAATTTTATTTGTTATAGTGATGTAATAGCTACTTTATTTTCTCTCAGATACTGGTTTAAAACAATTATTTTTCCCAAAATTAATCCACTATTTAATTTCTTGTCAGCATCTTTTTTTCTTGTGAATCTTGTCAAAATTTAAACTCCTTTTTTATTAAATATGCACATATGTAATTAAATTTTTTTAATACAAATTAGTTTTGTTATTTATACCTCCTAAAAAGCTAAGTATGATGACTTCAAAATTCAAATGGCTCTCACTATCAGCATTTGATTTACTATGGCTTTGTATTAAGTTGACTTGCTTATGTGAACAATTCATAAGTTGAAATACTGGAGAAAAAGAGAGGAGGGTAACAAAATCAGAAAGGAAGGAACCAGTGGGACTTTGAATGAATTTTTATTTTTGAACAAAAGTAAATAAATAAACTAAGTTAGCTGGATAGTCCAAAAAGGAAGTTATAAGTTGCTCACAAAATATTTTGTCTTATTTTTTTTTAATTGGCCTATAGGTTTGTAAGTTAGGGTTAATTTTTTAAGGTTATAAACTGTATTCTCAGCTTATATTTGAAAAATTAATATGCTTATTCCTCAATCTGAAAAAAAAAAGGTTCATTCGCAGTTCTGAGTGGAATAAAATTATTATATCAAAGCAAAATTCCTTAATCGCATCAGTGTATATTATTGCATGCATATTTTAAATCACATGGAAAAAAATTTCTTATTCTCAAAAGTAATTTAAAATTTTTCAGATTTCTTACTGCCATGTCAAAGAATTGTTCAAATAGATATGAAAACTGCTGAACTTATTCATAAGTTGTGGAAGAATAGTATGGAAAATGATGAAAACCCGCCTGATTCAAATGGTAAATAAAAAATTTAATAGCCAGTTTTTTTAAATTTTTTTTTATAAGAATTAGACAATGTTAGATAAAACGTGATGTTTTTTATTTTGCTGAAATTGTAAAGATATATTCTTTCTGCAAAACTATAACAAAGCTTTTACTTTTTGTGAAATGAATGAACCATGACACTAACCTTATTTTATGTTCTACTATCAAAGATCATTCACTAGTTTCACAAAAAGTATTGCCACTTATAAATTGATGGGGTTTTTTTTTTTTTTTTTTTTTTTGCAAAATTTAAAAAAATCTTTAGTTTTGACTCCCATAAAGGAAAAAAAATTTTTTTTGAAAAAATAAATAAACATGTGTTTTATAGTTTCTTCATAAAGAACATATCCTGAAAGTTTCAATAAAATCGAAAATGTCAAATATTCAAACCTGCCTGATATGCCCAATTTTTTTCCCTTAAAAATTGGCTCTTAATTTGTTTCCTTTTTAAACAATATTTCTTTAAAACTGAGTTGTAGGACTTATGGCCCATAGCTGAAAAGTCTTGCTAAGTCTTGACTTGACCTCCTTCTAAACAATATAAATTTAAAAAATGTAAAAACATTTTTTTTTTAAATTTAGGAAAGTTGATACAGTTGTTTCACTGCTCTGAAAAAGGAAAATGCAGTTGTTTTTTAGTCTGTTTTCTACCTGTAAGAAACAAAAAGACAAAAAAACAGGATGGCCAGTTAGTCATTCTGCTTTTTTGTTTACTTTTTGACATGATGCAAACCCTAACTTGATTGTAACCTTCCTCTATAGCAATAAATTACTGATTGAGTTCAGCCTTTCATTATTTGGTCGTTGCAATTTATTTGTTATCTAAAGTTTTGCTTATAACATATCTTAGTGTTGCCCTAAATGCCTTATTTTTTAAGAATTTGTCCGTATAAAAAATTATATATTTGTAAAAAAAGAACATTTATAAAATTGAAAAGATGAATTTTAAAAAATAATTGTGCAAATATTCTCAGCTGCAATCCAACTGAGCAAAGGACTTGGTTTGTGTGGCTAAACAAAAGGACAAAATCTTCAGGAATGAGGGGGAAAATAGACTTTTAGAATAGAGGTATTAAATTTTGAAGATAGAGAGTTTTCTTTTTTTTTTTGGATATGTGTGATGACGAAAAGCTGGTTATTCTATCATTACAATCTAATATGTCAAAATTCTTCAACAATGCTGTAATTTAAATTTTCATATTTGTAAATGAATCCTTTTATAACATTTTATTGCTCATTTGTGGAATCAAAGCTGAAGCCAAGCTAAACTATAGATATTCTACTTCAAGTCCCCAAAGGGGAAAAAAAAAAGAAGAAGAAAACGCTTGACCGTTCTGACTTCACGAACTGCGTGTAATTTATCAACTAAAGCTGTTTGGAAAAATTATTCTGCACTGCATATGAGGCCCTTATGCATGAGCGGTTTAAAATAGAACAACATGAAAATATAAGAAGTTTTCAAGAATGTGTTGAAAACAGTATATTGATACAATTAATAATTAGTTAATACTGTGAATGCACTACTGTAGACTGTGAATGTATGTTCAGCTAATTCTATGAATGACGTCCATATGGATGCAAAAAAAAGTTTGAAGTTAGCAGAATATCAGATCTTATTTTCACGCAGTTTGTGGATCTACCATTTGTCAAGTTTAGTTCATTATCATACATAAAATCATGGCTCATTAAGCTTAAAGCTGAATATGCACAATGCATGACTTGGGTAACGAAGTTGCATTGAATATAAGGTGTTGTTGGGTTTTCTTTAAAGAGATGAAACATTCACATTTCTATTATAAAAATATTTATAAATTTTGTCTCTGTCTTTGAAGCTCTCCCCACAAAGGATTTGGCCATATTGTTCAACTATTTTTACCTCTGTATTTAGTTCAACTACTTAGATGAAAACTTAATTCCTTCAAACTGTTCAACTATTGAAAGGTATATGAAATAAGTTTTTAATTATTTATGGTGAAGTAATATTTGGGTAAGTGTAGAATTATATTTCTTAGGAATATGAAAGTAATAATTTTTTTTTATTAATTGTCAAAACATTATGATTTTATAACTTTGTATGTTTCGTTAATGTAATTTTAAAGTTATTTTTCCTTTGAATTGTAATTTTTTACTAGGAACTATAAATAAAGACTCAAAAAAGAAAAGGAAACCGAAGCAAAGTATTCTTAGCAAAGTTACACCTTCTCTATCAGAACATAGTGTTAATGAGCCTCTAACTCTAACTGAAATTATGGATATGGAATATGCGTTAGAGCTTCACAAGAAAGAGAAGGTATTCATATTTTATACAAATGAAATAGCTGCAACAAATTTAATTATTAAATTCAATGTATTTTTCTCTCTATTCTTAACTTGACAAAAAGTATACAAAATTTGTTGCTTTCTTGTTATATTCAGTTCTCTTGTTTGTTATATTACTCGTTTGAAAAAAAAATATTTAAAAAACTCAGAGAAAGTAAGAAAAACAAAAATTTAAATGAATTCTTAGTAATTTTAGTGATAATGTTATCATCTTTGAGCAAGGATACTGATTAACTAGCAGATCTAATTTATTGCATTTAATTTCTAGTTAAAGAAAGACATAGACTTCTCAACTAAATTAAAAAGGCAAGAGTTATATAATTTGTATCCTGGGGCTGATCCAACTGCTTTGGATGAAATATTTGAGTCTAACAAGTAAGTTGATTAGTGGTGCAAAATATGTTTGTAAGTTAAATCAATAAAATTTAAAAATGAAAATTGATCAAAAATATACAATAATGGCTATCATTTAAAACTTTATACTTTTAAATTTTAACTATGTTTTGATTTCAATTTTATGATGAAATAAATATATTAAATCTCTTTACTTATCATCATTTTCTGCTTTTTCCTATTCTCTATACTCTTTTTTTCTCATTTTTTTTCCCTTCGTAAAATTGACATCTCCCAATTTTTTCAAGACATTATTTTAGATTTTGATTTTCCTCAGTGATCCACATAATAGATGTAAAGGATTTAAGTTTCCTTTCTATACTTGTAATTTATACATAACTTAGAAATATGAAATTCTTGAACCAATCGAATTCTAAATGAAAGTCTGTTAAAACCATTTGAATCTGTAGCTTAAAAACTGATAATCTAAACTTGGAAAAGCTCTAATATAAATGCAATACTTCTTCACCGGGTACCCTGAACCAAGTATCAGAACAAATTTTATATTGCAGAAGGCTTCTAATTGAATTTCTACATACGTTTGCATTATATGAATATAGAAAGTAACTTCAAATTCGTTGTCTATATAAGAGAAAATGCTCTTATTTTCTATACAACCTTTAGATATTTTGAGTGTCCTTAAACATTTTGAGTAACTCTTAACTTTTTATACTTTAGCTTCCTTTCGTTTGAATAGAGTGTTTAGAATTTTTACTAAGTTTTTTTTGCAATTAGAAGCCAAGGATTCTTGTTCTTTGGTAAAGTTCTCAAATTATTGGGCAAGATCTCAAATACTGTATCTGTAATACTGTATCCTCAAAAATCACTAATTGCACCTTCTTATATTGTTATCCTTCCTAAAATATCTCTTATTACATATCTATAAATTTTTTATAATTTGAAAATTTTCAAAAAATGAAAATTTTTGCATTAAAACTTTTTTAAAGGCTGAATAGTTTATACAAAATGATAGTTTGCTAATCGTTATTTGTTTTTTCATTTGTAGTTAATATTGTGTTATTGTAGGGCAAAATTAACTGTCGCCATTGGCAACAGCGCAACTAAATATAACAAATGCCAGTTGTCAGCTGATTACCACTTTTCCCTCAAAAATGCATCTTGTGTGCATTTAATCGCTATTTTTTTTTTTAGGAAGAATAGAAATAGAATTAGTACTATAAACTTTTTTATTTCATGCATGTTTCTTAAAATATTTTTTTTATTTTAGAAACGAACCTTTTAATTTTGAGAAATGCTTCAAAGGGAATGCTTTACATTGCTATTATCAGCAGTTTTTTTAATCTTTTAAAATATTCAATTTTTGAAAAAGTGGCCTCGTGTTTCAAAAAATAACTATTGTCAAAAATGCTACAACTTGCCAGTAGCAAAATTTCCCAATTTTGCTTTATATGTGTCATTAATTTTAAATACTTAGAATTTTTGTAAATCTACATCTTTCTCTGTATTTTACAATAATTTTTTTAAGATAATTATCTATTATGTCACCTTATATATAATGCCTCATAAAAAAATTTATTGATTTTTCATCTCTATTTAAATTGCTAGACTAAGGGCCATGTTGTCATTTCAGCTACTCTATAGTGAATAGTATAAAGGCATTGGGGGAAGAAATGGGAGAACAGAAGATGGTGATACAAGAGAGTGTAATGGTAAACTACAAGAAACCTGTTGCACCTGCCCAGAAACAGGAAAATATCTTCAATGATTTTGTAAGTTGTGTGAATTTGCATTTTCTAAAATCAGGCTTTTTACAGATTCAAAATCCTTAGTTAATCAAAATTCTTGAGTTAGGGTGAAGCCTAGTTTGGGAATTTTCTGTTTTTGTTGCTTACCTTCCATCTGCTCAGACTCCATTAGACTAGATCTAAGAATTCGTCAACATTTGAAAAAAATCATATACAAGAAGAGAAGTCAATGAATTTCCTCCCATATAGGTCCCAAACAGTCCAATATATGCTCAGATTAAGTCTGGTGTTGGTGGTACTTGGGGCAAAGTGGGTTTGCTTTTATACCCTCAGAAAAACATGAACTCTTTATATGACTGCTGGTGAGGCGCAAGATGGTGGTACAGATTTCTCTATTATGAAAAAAGGTCATGGCTAGACCTGGCCTACTACCCTGATATCCTTCTTAATTTGAATTTAAAATAAAACTATTTCTCTTTAACTCAAATAGTATGATGGGCATAATCTTAACTTATCCTACTANTTTTTTTTTTTTTTTTTTTTTTTTTTTTTTTTTTTTTTTTTTTTTTTTTGCTTATAATTTTTATGAGCTAATTTTGTAACTTTTTTCATGCATTTGAGTCATTTCACAGATAAGTTATGAGAGAAATCGAAAAAAGTGTTTTGTATTTTTCATCTTCTAACACCTTCTCACTTTGTAAAAAGTATAGGGCTTTGTCATGAATCTCTATCTCACCCTGTTGATGGTCTCTCTATATTTTGTTTAATACCTTTAATTAGAAAAGTTTTCACTTACTTTCATCCAAATGTTTTGCTTCCCTTGGATGTTTACAACCAGGTATTATACTTATAACTGGAGAGAAACAGTTGAGACTTGATGCATCCTCTGCATGAAGTGTTTTGTTTTATGCCCAGTAATCTATATTTTTTCTATTTTTCTGAAGTGTTAAGTGTGTAGTCAAAGGTGGATTTGTAAAAGCTTTATTTAAATGGAAAAAAAAATCAAAATATCCATTTTTGTTATCATTTTTGTTCCACTGACAAAAAATAATTGCAGTTTATTCAAAAAGACAATTATATCGCAAAATCAATACAAAAAAAAAAATTAATATACTCAGTGCTAGTTTTCTTAAAACCAAAATTGCTAGAAGCAAAAATTATCACAAAACTTTTATTTTTAGTTGAAACATGATGATGAGTTTATGCATTAAAATAGTAAACAAAGTTAAAAATTATGTAACTGATATATTATATATTTATTACGTGAATCATTAGCAATTACAATCAATCATTTCACTTTTTTCCAATATGTATTGAAAATCAGTTAAAATAAGTTTTTTTTTGCTTGCTTTTCTTCTAGGTTAATTCTGATTGGAAAAAATGGGTACAGTATACGAATTCTGATTCTGGTAAAGAAGGAATAATTTCATCTGCACCAACAATTTCATCAGAAGCTCTAGAACTGAGGCAACTTGCCACAGATCATTTCAATCAACGTCAGTACTTCATACAAAAAGCAAAAGATGCTTTTCATAGAGGAATGTCGGAAGTTGCTTCTTTTTATTCTCAAAGGGTAGGAACTATTTCACTAATTCTTATTATTTATGAAGACGAAGAGAAAATTTAAAACTTCATATGTGCCTTGTTGAGTATGTCGATCTACAAAATAAATGTCCAAATGAAGTGCCCAAACATCTTTAACGCATTTAATTAATAAAATAATACATTAATGTACTTTATGCAGGATTTGTAGTTCTCCTGATTTTCCTGATACAAAATATTCTGTCCTTATTTGCCTTGATTTTTAATGTTTTGCTTAATATTCCTGTTTGTTTCTTTTTTGGTGGATAGGTTACATTAGAGATGTAACTTTTCAGACGATGCCATTATATTTAGATAATGATATAGCGAGTTAAAACTCGACACTGCTACAACATAAATTAACTACCCTCTATTATAAATTTATAACCTTATACCAACTGTGAACTTTTAAAGTCTTTAAAAAGAAAAAAAAAAACAAATTTTATAAAATGCATCAAGTGATTTATGGAAGTGGATGATAAGATTTTATGATAAGCATTATTTTTTAATCGTTAGTTTATTCTTTAAAAAAAGTTTGAAAAGCGGAATCAAATGATTTTTTCATTATCTTAACTAGCTGTGTTCATTTACGTAAGCACACATTTTGATCTGTGTTCATTTTCTTAAACATGCATTTCGAGCCGCTCTATATTAAAGACTCTTTGTGGATTTTTTAAAATTTTATTTTGAATTATAAAGTTTAAAATTTTGCTTTTATATGTCTTTAACTTTTATTAATGTTGTAAATTTGTAACTTTTTTTTAACTTTAAATGCAAGAAATTTGTTTGATTATAAAATTTATTTTCTGATAATCATGATTAAACTATAGGTTCTAGGATATTTTGTATTATTATTAATTTTTTTAAATATTTTAGGGTAGTGAACATCAACAAAAATTCAAAGAGATAAATAAAATGGCTTCCAAATTAATTTCTGAACAGAGGTAAGAATTTTTAACCTTGTTGTTTCCTAACATAATTTAATTGTAAATTTTGTCATATTTTACTTAATACAAAAGTATTTATATCAATAATGCTTACTTAAGCGTTTATTTATTTTTGATTCAAATGTTTCTTTTAATTTTTTGCAGGAATGATTCCTTATCTGCACATGTTCTTGATTTGCATGGATTGTATGTACAGGAAGCAATACCTCTTCTTGATAAATTCATTCGTAATTGGAAACAAGCAATGCAAAGTCCACAGCAAACAATTCCTCAATCTATTTCTGTTATAACTGGTCAAGGATTGCACAGCGAAAGAGGGGCAAAATTGAGACCATCTGTTATGGAGTTCTTGAAAAAGACTGGTTTGGGGTTAGTTAAAATTACCTTGCTTACAGATTGATAATATAATTTACAGGAATGTGCGAACACTTATTGCAGAAAATTTTTTACTTTTACTAAAAATAATTTTAAAAATCCGCCTCTTTAACGGAAGTTTATCTTTTTTGAATTCCTGAGGGAAAAAAATCGCTTTCACGCTTTTAACTACCAATGCAAATGAGATTTAAGGATTCACCAGGATTCCTATATACATAATTTAAGATAGCGCATCATGTTTTGTATTTTTTTTATTTATATCAAATATTGACTTTTCTATACACGTGGTTTAAATCTTATATGGTAAAAGGGCCGTTTTGATTTCTTGATTTTTTTGCATATAATTTCATGAATTTCAGCTACATTAAGAGAAACAAAGTANACATAATATCATTTTGCAAGAGATAAAAGTAAACTTATACATAATTATTCATTTAAATTATGCTGCATATAATTTATTTAGAATGTCATGTTTTGAAAATGTGATTTAAATTTATGAAGACATTAATTTTTTGAAATGCATCATTAATTATTTTACTCGTGAAATTTTCAGGTTTTTTGAGTTTGGCTCACAATCACCCCTATTTGTTTAAAAAGTATTTTACACATAAAATTTTTGGTTTTTTACCAAACTCATCCCTGCTGTATGAATCAATATAAAGTTCTATGAAAATTAAACTTTTTTAAAGAAATCAGTGATTTTCAAACAAATTTTGTGAAATGAGGTCACGAGGAAAGAGTTGAAACTAGTTACAAAAGTTAATCAATGCATGCAGAAAATTTTTTAATTGAGATTTTGTCTTTGCAGAAAATTTTTAATTTTATTTCAGTCTGCATGCTTTGTATTCATACAAACTAACATTTCGTTGATGTAAAAATTTTAATTTTTTCTTCAAAGTAGCAATAATATTTTCAGATATATTTTTTTGTGCTTAATACATATTGCAAATATTAAGCCTTTTTAAAAGTATTTGTAATTTTAAAATATCCAATTTTATAATTAAAGTTGTATAGTAATGTGTGAATAATTTAATTAAATGTTGAATATTTTGATATTATTGATTTTAATTATGGTTAAAATTTTACATATTTTATTAATACCTTGTAATCTATATTTTAAAAAAATGTTATTTGTCATTTTAATTTCGATAATAATTTTCTTAAGAGTGAAAAAAATTGTTTTTCTCTTAATATTATAGTATTTAAAACTTATATAGTAAAAATGCCATTATTATTACTTGATTTTTTGCATATAATTTCATGAATTTTTAGCAACATTAAGAAAGATAAAATATGAAATCTTAACCCATTTAAAAATTGCCCTTTCTTTGTAGTTTTCACAAAAAATACTGTTAATTTCTTAAATCTTGTTTTGCTGTTTTGTTTAAATTACTTACTCTTCTAGAATTTTAACAAAAATATTCTGAAATCTTGTCCTTAGAATTTGATATATAAATTTCTTTTGGAATAATAAGTGTGATAGAAAATTTAACTCTCTCTTTCTTTCTGTTAACAACTGTTAATGTGACCCTCACCAAAACTGTATAAAAAGCAAAATTTAAAAAAAGAAAAAAATTATTTTTGTAAAAGTTAATTTAGCATGTTCTAAAAAAAGTTACCTTTCTGTTGTCTATTTTTAAGTGAGTTAGGATGAGAAACCGAATCCCATTACTTTTTAGTCTCGATTGTCAAATATATCATATTTTATTTTTGCAACTTACGTGTTACAAAAATTCCTGTCAAGTAGTGTTTTTTTTCCTTATAAAAGCATTAAAAGAATTGGAATTGCATAAAAAATATATCGATTTTACCCAGAGCTTATTCACATCAACTGTTGAACTATTCAAAATTTCTGTCTTATACTTTGAAAAATATTACAAAATGTGAAATACATAAATTTTCCGACTCTCAATGTATCAATGCAAAGTTCTTTAATATTACTATTCCTTAAAAAAATTCATTTATGATAACATAACTCATCATAAATATATCCATATAAATAATCAAACGAATTGTACTTGTGAATCATTTTATTTTTCAGCATGCAGATTCTTTATTCATACATTATATTATTATTTTTAGATAATTTCATTTATAATGGAATAGCTCAACATAAATATATCTATATAAGTAATCAAACTAATTGTACTTTTGAATTATTTTATTCTTCAACATACTGATTCTTTATTCATATATTAAATAATTATTTAAAAAAAATTCATTTATGTAGTTCAACATAAATATATCTAAATAATAAATTTGTACTTTTGAATTATTTTATGTTTTAACACGCAGAATCTTTGTTCATTTTTTGTTATAATGAAATAACTAATTTTATTGAATTAATAATTATTGCATGTTTACTGATTTATATGATATAAATTTTTTCTCAATTAAATTGTCGAAATGTATTGTCTTTTAGTCTTATTTAACGAGAGTTTTTTTCGACAGCTTTTCCGAGGTTCATCTTGGTGTTATAGATATATTCTTGAATCCTGGTTGAAAAGGTTAGCAGTTACATTAGCAAAGTTTGATTTCATTTGAAAATTGTAAATTAATGTATTTTTTAATTTATGTAAGTAATGTAATTAATTGCAATTTAAAATGTTGATTGTAAAAAAGGGCAAGTTGACAGAAATTTATTTACTTATGATGGTTAGATGCTGATGTGTTATTGTTCAGCTATATGAACTTTTTTGACAAGATGTGCATGGGTAACTCAGGTATTAGTTCTTAGAACAAATTAAAGAATAATGTAATTATCTTCACTTGATTTTAACTTTCGTTTTCATCAGTATTGTTTCCTTTACTTCATTTCTTTTTCAATTTTAATTATTCCTCAATTTGCAAAATAATAAGTAACTGTTATAATACTGTAAATAATACTATGTAAACTGTTTAATTTATTTCTTTTTTGAACTTTTTATAAAATCTGAATATTTTTTAAGGAATTTTTTTTATTAAGTCTACACTGCTTTATATATTTGAAAAGTATTACTGGTATGTAATACTAATTTCAAATATATTGTCAGTATGAATAAAAAATATTTTTTTTTGTTGTTAACTATGTTTTGTTAACTTGTTGTTAACTATGCTTTGTTATTTTTTTTCCTTGCATTTTTTATCTCTGAAATATCTGAAAATCAATTATTATTTTAGCTTCAATATTTTGCCTGCTCTTTTTCAAGAATATTTTAAAGTTCTAATTAAATTAATATTTTCATGTTCATTAATCTCAAATTGCTATAACCTTTGCTTTTAACCATTCTTTACTATAAACCTACTCTTAATTTTCTCAGTTTATTAGTATTGGGAAAGACTTGAGTTTTCAAAATAAGTACACTTTTAATATTAATTTTTATGAAGTTTTATATAATTCATTACAGATTCATATACCTTTTCTTAATCTTAAATTTATTTTTCGTTAAAATGATGTTAACGTTACAGACTTTTCTGTTTTATGCAAATTTTGTGTCAAATTCTTAAGAAATTGTCAAATTAGAAATATTAAGTTATTAATTTTGTATTAATCTTTAAGTAGCGTTAAAGTATAATTTTGTATTAATTTATTTTTTTCAAATGTTTCATTTTACTAATAAAATTTATTATAGAAAAATAATAATTAGTCAAATAATTGTTTTGTTTATAAAAAAGAACTATACTAGTCCAACAAAAATTCTTACAAGTATAATTTGATTACAAGAACTTTATATATATATATATATGCTTTTCTAAAATTTTAAAGTAAAGTTTTAAAAAAAATCTGCTAGTACGCAGATTTTTTTTCTGCTAAGTTATTCCAGATTATATTTCTTCAAAAACTGCAGTCACTTTATATTATATTACATAATATCATTTTGCACCTCTCACTGTCTTTCCTTAACATTTTCTTTTGTATATTTTAGCTGTCAATTTTATATATATATGTTTACTTAAAGCAAAATTTAGCTTATATACTGAAGACTTCTGCCCTTAAAATCTATCTTGTTAATAATCAAATTGCGAACATTTATTACATTACCTTATATTTTTTTTAGTCTTATTGCCATTTAATTTTAAGTAAATGGTTTTTCTTTATTGTTAGGCTTCCTTTTGCAAATTGATATTTATTCATAAAAGGTACTCAAATAAAAATCCATATTTCTCCCCCCCCCCAAAAAAAATAAGGATATTAATAATGACCTGCATATTTTCCTTTAATTCTGTATCATTTGTGAAAGGATGTCCATATTTATTGTGACTATTATTAATTTTAATGTGTGATTTAAATTTAAAAAATGACACTTGCGGTGTTTTAGAGGATTGGTTACACGGTGGCCTACGTTTCACATTACTTATTTGAGATATTCTGAGTTGAGTCCAGTTGCTGAGAATGGCAACCAGCTATATTGTATTGAATCTGCTATAGAGCAAAATTAAGAACTTTTTCTAATGCTAGTGGCCACTTTTTTAAGAATTAAAAGTTTTAAACAATTTAATAAGCTTAATATTAGACATTTCTTTTGAAAAATATCTGGTTTTGAAAAATATTTGAATAATACCTTTAAATGGTAAACATTTAAAGGTATTATGGTAACACAAAGTTCATTTCTAAAAAAGAGAAAAAATTAAGAAACAAGCGTAAAATAAAGTAATTTTCATATAGAATATTATAAATTATTCATAATAATTCTATATTTGAACATAGGATGTAATTTCAAAGAAAAAAGTGGCAACAGATGGAAATTTTTGAATCAAAGCTTGTTATATCTAGTCGCCCTGTGTGCGATGGTGGGCATTAGCTTTGCCCTTTGGAATCTGCTGTTCACTCAGAATATACGAAAGACATAGGAGATTAAGTACTTTATATTTTCATCGTCTATCCAATCACTCGTGTGTGATGGTTACTGGTCTGGTACATGGTTTTTTGGTTGTTTCCTGTTAAAAGAATATAACATTTACTCTTTGAAGTATTTGTATTTTTTTATGTTGGTTGCATGTTATGAAATGAGTCATAGATTTTAATATATTTAATTGATGTGTAAACGTTTAGACAATTGTAAGTTCTATCAACTTACATGATAATTATATCCGTCCAGTGGTTTTTTGTAATTTTGCTGTTGACACCAAGAAATAAATATGAAAGAAACAGAAGAAATAAATATTTATTTATTTCCCACATAACAATCTGGTTTTCCCAATTATGGGATAACAGTGCATGGCAGAGGGAGTTTTTCATAAAAGTTTGTGCATGTTGTTTGACTGTTAAAAAGTTGTTTTTTACTCTATGACGTACAGCTTCTATATTTTCTAAGTGTTGCATAAATGCTAGAATTTACTATACAAGAGTACAAATTAGTTATTGTTTTTATTTTTTAATTACAATACCATTTTGCTGAATTGTCTGTTATTCAGCAGTTGTTGATGAAAAATTTTAAGTTTATTTTTATTATTTTAAGCAGTCACTGTATGAAGCATATGAATTATAAATATTTTGTGTGTATGTGGTTTGTTAAATCATAGTCAAATGTAAAAATGTTAAAACAAACGTTCAGATTAGGAATGCATAACTTATATCCTATGAACAGGCATGAGATTCTTCAGACTTCTGACAGAATTTTCTGACTTTTTTAATATTTCTATATTTTGTTTCGCACACAATGGTTTATTTATTTTTTCATGATTTGAGTTGATAAATATTTTCAGACTTTTGTTCTCTTCTAGCTCTCAAGCTTATTAAAGTTAAAAGCGACCTTTATGACTTGACCTTTGAACTTTCTTAAATATTAATAAAAACATGAGTAAATATTTTTTCAGTCTTGAAGAAAAAATACCTGTATTACTTTGCCTGATTTCCAAAATTAAAAAGATAAATATTTTTTTTATAAAAAATATAGTTTAAAAAATAAAATAAAAAGCAAGAGTATGTGCAATAATAATTGCCTTTTAATCTTTTATCTATATTTCTTTAAATTTATTTGTTTTCCTTTATTTATCTGCATTTCAATAAAAAGCTAACTACGCATATTTGAGTCAGATAAATTACTGTCAAATAGGATCTAAATAAATCTTTCCTCTTTACGATTACAGCTTCGTGTTCATTATTTATTGCCCAAACCCTGGTATTTTCTAATTTTGATGACCTACTATTTAAAATAAAAAGTTATGCATTCCTCATTATGGTGCCATGACCTTTTCTTCTTACCTATTTGTCTATTCCTAGTTGTGGTATATTAAATCGAATTAAATATTATGATTTGAAATATTTTGATGCAATGTATGTAAAGTTGTGAAACTTTATTGCTCATATTCACATTAGCATTAAGAAAATTTATTATGAATTATTTACTTACCTTATTATGTGTTTTTTTCCCTTCTTCCTTTAGTTGAATCAGCATTATCTATAAGTGTAATTAATCTTCATTTATCTCATAATACATACAGACTCATCTTGACTTATCACATACAGACCTGTTAACTCTTAAGATTTTAGCCCAAGTCTCCAATTTTAAGCTATCCAAGTATTTTCTATAGTATTTTTGTCCTACTAAGCTTACATGTTGGTGATCATGTGCACAGCCCCTGCACCCTCCTATAGATTAGAGAGTTTGTAGTTAAAGTGCATTTGGTTTGTCGTTAAATTCTTCTTATCAATGAAATCGATAACTTTTTTAATGTTTGGCTTGCAATGTCTGATAGCTGGAAAAAAATTTGCTTTTAATAAGGGATTGTTCTTATAGAAGTGATACCTTAATTAATGAGGAAATAGCTATTTTGATGAAAATTTCAGCTGTTTCTTTTTTGAGCATCTCATTTTTAGAGGTTTTAAATGTTTACAAAAATTTGTTTTTTAAGTTTAGAAACTCAGTTGTCTCCTTTACATCGTGAAGACATTTCAGAATTTTTCGCTATTTTGATATAATTGATACAAAATAATGTCAAATCAGCAGGAAAACTAATGTCTACAGTGTGTTGCTCATGTTTATACTGGTGACATTAACTTTTCTCCAGCAATGTGACCTGTAAGAGAATAAATATTGACCTTTCTCTCAACAATGTGAGCTGTAAGAGAATAGATATTGATCTTTCTCTCAGTAATGTGGCTTGTAAGAGAATAGATATTGACCTTTCTCTCAACAATGTGAGCTGTAAGAGAATAGATATTGACCTTTCTCTCAGCAATGTGAGCTGTAAGAGAATAGATGTTGACCTTTCTCTCAGAATGGAGAATTATTACTTTATTTAATTTGTGCTTTTAAATTGTGTACTAAATACATCAATTTTACAAAATAACTAATTCTAAACTTCATGCAACTACTTATCACATCTCCTTACATATATTGCTAAATATATATATTTTAAAAGTGTTTTTAAGATGGTTTTAATGAATGTGAACTTTTGTATTTGAAACTTTTAATGTATTTTAACTTTCACATGTAGTTTTAGACTCATACTGTTTGTTACAATCAGTTCATTGTATTAAAATATCCTTTTTATTTTATTTATGAAAATAAATAAAATAAAAAAAAATCAATCTCATCAGCAAGTATGAATAATAATGATCAAAATAGATGAGTTTGCGTGGAAGGTTAAAATTATTCGTATATTTTAAGTAGGAAATTATTTTATTGTATAGTTAAATGTATATTTTCACTGATTAAATGTTTTGTCAACTGATAATATTTCTAGCGATTTATATTTTTAACTTTAGTTTGCTTAAATCCTTTCTTAATTTCTAGTCATTGTCACTAAAACTACTTAAATTTTCATTTTTTAAATCAATTTATAATGCTCAAAATTGTGTCATTTAATGTTGGATGTATATATAGTAGTTTTTTTTATATAACTGATGATGCTTTAAATGAGCTTTTTAACTTTAAAAATATTAAAATGTTATTAAAATTTTATTTTTAGAAGACAGTTATTCATGCTGGAGTTTAAATAATGATACTATGTCACAGATAATTTTCTGTACTACTGTTTCTTAACTTCCAACAATGGATATAATTTTAGCTGTTTTGAAAAATTTATATCGCCACTATTTTATTAACAATAAAATTTAGACATGTAGCTGTAAAATTAAACAAATTATCTTCACTAATATGAATTTATATAAATGCTCTAAAGCCGCACTATCCATTAAATATCTATAAGCTTCTGTCAATCAGTATTGATCTAAAATGCAAATTTCACAAAGGTTTACTAAATCTTCTCAAAAATGAGTATTTTCCCCAAATCTAATGTAAAAAATTACTATATTTTACTATATGTATGCTTGTTTGGAATATATATTATTTCTTTAAAAAAATGAAAATGAAATAGTTTTGCTGCCTCTATTTTTACTTTACAGAAAATACATGTTAACATTTTACGTGTTTCAAAAACTTATTTTTAACTGTTACAAGCATACGATATGTTAATATTTATTTTAAACCTTTTTAGTTTGATGAGAAAATTTAGTCAATACAGTTTATAGAAAATCAAATATAGTTTATTAGTTTGATAAAAATAAGACTGACTTGTGATATAACTAAACAAGAGTTATTTTTCTATAATGAGTTATACTTTTTTTTTTCTTGAGCATAGAAATTAGAATGGATTAAAACAAGAAATAAACCAACTGCACATAATAAGTAACAAATGACATCTGTATTTCTTAATCACTTGTTTTATTAATGGATGTTCTTGCTAACTATGTTCACAAAGAAAATTATATTTATATGTACAAAGTTGTTTTGTATCATAAGAAGCTGTACAAAATAAATTTTTATCTGTGTGTTGTGAATGTTGACTTACATAGTACTACTCTTGTTGTTTTTCTGTGTACTTAATTTTTTTTCATGATTTATACAGGTTGAATCATAGAATAATATCAGATGTCATACTCATTTTTACTTGAAAAATTATAAATCAAATATGATAGATATGTGTGTCAAACCACGGGAAACGAATGTTAGAATTAAATATAAAAATAAGTAATTTTTTTTAAAATCAGAAAATAGCAATAAGTTTTAATTTCTTTTAACTTTAAAATTCACTTCTTTTTTACTATGCTCATAATTTTTTGAAAGTTTTATTTTATAACCGTCGTTGAACAGCCGACCCAATTTTGGGTTTACAACCACTAAAGTTCAACTCCGTAGCCTTGTAATTTTTGTATATAAACCATCCAGAATACAAGGAAATTCTTGGATCAGTACCGCCAGAAGTAAGATTTGTTATGGGAACATGGAGGACTTAGTGACTCGACAGATTTAACGTGCCTCAATCAACATTTACTACACGGTGAGTCTTCGGCCAGTGGGGATCCAACTCTTGGACGTAAGCCCAGTGCCCTACCAATGAGGCCAACCAGCCCTTTTTAAAAAGTTTGAATTTTCTTTTAACAAAAATAGTAATTTATAACTTTTTATAGTATTTTAATTTTGGGTTTTTTATGTACTTGGTAATTAAATTCAGCCATATTTGATCTATTGCTTTTCTATTAATAAAATTACCTGATGTTTATTTTAAAATCAAATACTGTAGCACAAATCAAAATACTGTATACTTTTAAAGCAACGTACTATAGCACTATATACCCTATTCGTTTATGAGACTGTGTTTGCTCACTTAGCATTCAGCGCATAACTAGTTAGCATAGATATGTCACTCAAATGATATTCTGGAAAAAGACGGATTATTTACATTTATCTATGACGAATTTAGATGAATAAGTGCTCACATTCTTTAAATAATATTTAAGTAGATTCTACGTCTTTTTTTAATTTTTTATCTCAAACTGGAGGCCTTCTCCTTCGGACTTCTTGCTGAAATTCATTGGCTGGCAAGCACCTGAAAATTAAATAAAATTGCATTTTTCAGTATATTGAATTTTAAACTTATGTTATTTAAAATACAAAATACAGAGCGCTCCCTAGGTTTTTATCATCGACCTTTTTAACTTTCGCTTGGCTACAGCTGTACTTTAAAAGTGGCGTTTAGGTATAGTAAAGTGACTATGCAAGGTGAATCTGACTACAGCACTACCCCTTGGAAAACCGTAGAGTTATCGTCTTAATGGTCTGGAAAAAAGTGAATCACTGAGCTTTTGAGCAACATCAATATACTATGAATACGTAAATACCTTTTGAAAAAAAAATTACTTTTGTTTTTTCAAGATTTATTATATGACCTGAGAATATGTTTTAGGAGGAAAAAAATTACCACAAAATACCTTTATTTTTGATTTAGAGTGTGCGAAAAAAAAGTGATAAGAGATAGATATAGCCTTTTAAAAGTAATGAATTTGGTTTCAGAGTTAGTGGTCACTTAGTGTATTAAGAATTAAATGGAAGAAAGGTAAACTTATTACTACAAAGTGAGAAGAGTTTTATCTATGATGGCATAGCATTTACCATTTGCAGTACGTTGCAGTGACAGAAAGGAATATACTTGCATGAGAGAAAAAAAAGCAGAGAGGGGAAAAGCGTGGAGAGTGGGGAAATTACTTAACCTTTATACTCCGATTCTATTTACAAAGATAGTAGAAAACTTATTTACTTACTTGCAGAAACCTTGATGGGTGTATATTTTATTAATTTCTGTTTGATACAAACAATCACAAGTTGATCTTTCGATGCGTAAATCCGTCTTGCTTCTTTCCAGTTGATTTTGGCACTCGCATTGGCAATATGCTTGCCGGGCAAACTATAATTTAAAAAAAGAAGCAAATAATGAGCCCGTTTTAACGATTATAAAATATAAAAATAGTTTAAAAAATTTTTGAAGCATGAAATTTAACATATTAACGAGATACTCTTCAAGGATAGTTAATGAAATTTGTCAAAAGGAGCACAATTCACGCATTCGTGACATTTTTAAAAAATTGTTACTGACTTTTTCCAATTCGGTTGTCTTAATTTTTTATTGGCTTAGGACTAGAGGAGGTAAGCAGTTTTGTGTATCTTGGAAGTATAATTAACAAAAAAGAAGGAACTGTTGAAGATATACTAAATAGATTAAACAAAGTCTGAAGCAGTTATGCTATTCACAATACGTTCTGGAAAAACATAACTAATTCAACAAAAATTAGAATTTTCAATACTAATGTTTTATCTGCCCTACTATATGGCTCTGAGACTTGTCATTGCAATAAAAATAACATTAAAAAACTTCAAGTATTTATTAACAAGTGTTTACGAAGAATCTTACGTATCAAGTGATTCCATAAAATTTGTAATACAGAAATCCTTAGAAAAGCAAAACATAAACCGATTAATCTGGAAATTAAGAAATGTATTGGTCATGTTCTACGTAAACTTGGAAAATTTAAAGTAAAACAAGTTTTTGATTGGAACCCTCAGGGCAGTAGAAAAGGAGGAAGACCTAAAAAATACTTGGCTCAGGACGATTGTAAACAATAGGAAAGACATGAGAGAGGCAATAAAATACCTGGCCACAAATCGAGAGAGATAGAAAGCTGTGATAGAAGCCCTATGTTTCAATAATACTTTTTAAAAAATATTCACAGGCATATAGAATGGAATAGCAAGCTCTAAGCTATTTTCATCTATATTTTTTCGAATCAATTATAACTCCTGGTCCACCAGGCTCTAACTGAAAAATATCTAAATCTTTCAAATCTGAATCAGGAAATGTTTTTAGCAAGGTCAATGTTTTTTGCATCGTTATGCACCTTTTAGCATACACTTGAACATAACTTTTAAAAGACGAATTAAAAGCAACGAGAAAAAAGTTTTCATTTTAATAAGTAACGAATAAAAATTTTGGCTTATAAAATATATAAAAGTTTTCGATTTTAAAAGTATGAAATAGAAAAAAGTAGCGATTTTAAAGTACATTTCGAGAAAATCCAAATTCAACGAAATCGTAAATTTCATACATTAAATTTATAAGTTAAAAAAAAATAATAAATTTCGAAAAAAAAAAACTTTTTTAAAAAGGAACATTTTTTAAAAAAAATTCATAAAAAAGTAACGATTTCTTCGACGTTCTCGTTACAAACACTATTTTTTTTTTTCAAAAAAGCAACAAAAAAATATAAATTTAATACTAAATTTAAAAAGCAGCGAAGTACAAGTAAAATGCTTACTTTTTACTCAATTGGGAAAAAAAAAAGACACACTCTTCTTTGAGTGGCTTGGTAATAACAATTTTATCACCAAAGAATCTCAAGAACCAAAAAGGAAAAACTAGATATCATTGACAAGAATTTAATCTATACAATTGTTGCAAACACATTGAAAAATCCCTAATGTTTAAATTTTAACTCTATAATTAACTCTATAACTAACAAAAAAATAGCGAAAGCCACCACCTTCTTTTTTCAATAGTTGGAATTTGAACGAAAGATAAAAACACCTAGTATGGAAGAAGTGTACTCATAAAGGTGTAATTTCAGTTATCTACACAAAATTTGATTGAAACGTTCTTGATTTATAATGATTTCGATTCTGTGATTTGTGCAGTTTGAATCAATTCTTTTTGTATCCAACTTGAAAAAAAAAAAAAAAAAAAAGTATTTTAGGTCAAAAGTACAGAGCCAAATAATTATTCAGATCAAAATAGTCACGCTCTGCGTCTAACCAGAGGTGTTTGTTCCTTTTACGTTTCATGCCGCATTTTCGATTGGTTCTTATTAATATTTTTTAATACTATTGGTTTCTTTACGAAATATTATTCTTGTTTATTTATTAATTTATTTTCCGACACTATTTTAATCTTCTTTTTTTTTCTCTAGTTCTTTTTGACTGGACAATTGAAGATGAGCTTTAAAGTATATACGTTCCCCGTTTTTGTTACTTCGCTCAATCTTTATGTTTTTAATATATATGTGAAAACATAACTCGTAAAATTTTTGGGGTTTATTTATTTAATTTACATTAATGAATTTTTTTCATAGCACCTGTTTGTTTTCATGAATGGATTTTTAATGTTTTTCAACGAATATAGTTTTATTTGAAAAGATAAATATATTAAGGTTGATATTCATGAAACAAAATTTTAGCAACATCAATTAGGACCAAACTTTTTTCTAGCATTGTTTGTCAGAAAATCGTCCAAGAACGATTTCAGAGGCAGCTTGAGCTCAACAATCGCAAAGTAGAAGTTTTACCGGTTTTTTTCCTTTTTTCTGTGGTTGAATGAATAGGGAGTAGGACAACAAATCGTAAAGGAGGCTAAGTTAATAAATTAAATAGGTATAATACAATTTTTTAAATCTATATATATACTAAAAAACTTGTATCATACATATATTGTATTGATATATTTTGCTTTGGCTATATTGATACAATATTAGAAAGCACTCCTTTTTGAGGATATTATCGTGTGAGCTGATGAAGATATTATATCTTTTTATTTCTTCCCTGCTTTTTAATACATATTTTTTTAAATGTCATTTTTCTTCTCTTTGCATTAATCTCTTCCATGTTTTCTATATATTTTTAACTTATATGTATATATATTATAATTGGCACTTATTATAGATTTTTAAAGTCTTAGTTTATTCTCTTCAATTAACAATCTTTTTCAGAGTAAAATTGTTATGTTTTCACGCTAAATAATTTTTTACATAAATAAATATCTATATTTTTCAACTGAAACTGTATACCGCTACTCTTCTCATTTTGAAACATATTTTACTATAATTTATGCTTACAAAATCATACCTTCCTCGATGACTGAAGATCGTCTTCGTACTTATTGTAGTTTAAATAGCTACCCAATCTGAAATCGAAGATTTCGTCCATGGAAATGTGAAAAGTCATGTGCAAGATCAGCACCATTATTAACGGGAAACACATTAACAATTCCAGCATTTTTGTAAAGCATTCATTCAAAATGCCTGTTACTATTTTGAACAATCAAAATATGTTGGAAAAGAACTCTGAGTTCAACTATTTTTTATCGCAGGAAATTGTACTTCCTCTACTCTGAGTTTGAAAGCTGGAAGAGGAAACAAGAATTCACTGATATCGACTTTTAGTTTTGAAATCAACGGATTAAGAACTGACGAGAAATTTGGCTTAAGCCAAATCCACAGACAGTTCTAATCTATTAAAATGGAGGAAAATAGTGTATTAGCTTATTTTGCCGATAAATATCAATTTTAAATTCCCCAGATTGGGCTTTAAAAAAACCAATCAGGGATTATTACTGCGTCAACAACCATTTTGTCACTATAAACTATTATCGATGTCGGAACATAAAAGATAGAAAATCACTTTTTTTCCTTTAGCGCTGATAATGGTAGTACATTTCTAGTACAGAAATTAGTTTTTTTTTTCCCTTCTTGGACTTAAAAGTTGCTTTTTAAGGCTTAATTTTAGAAAAAAAGACAATACTGCTTTCTTTGACTGCTCACAGTTGGATTATGTTACAGAAATTTTTTTTAAAATTTCTCATGGAATATGGAAGCGTTTAAAAATCAATGCCGTATTGTCTAAATTCTATTAGCTCACTGTAAAATTATGCCTTCATTTACATTAATTTGAAAGTAAAGTAGTGTATCTGGTGAACTTAGAATGAACCATTTAATTTCAAATACTCAAATTTTTTGTTCAAAATGCAAATAAACTAAGGCAAAATTACTCAGCACTAGGAAGAAGGGAAGAAATCTTGCATTAATTTGTTTGCATTTTGATGTATTGAAACTTTATGGTAATATCACCATTAATTTTGCTCGCATTATTTAAAAAACAATATTAAATTGGATTAGCATCAAGCTCTAGTTTAAATTTCGATGGGCATTAAGTTCTTTTACATGTTGAAAATTATGTTTATAACTATTCAGAAAACGATTGACAACTTGTATTATCAATCAACACAGAACTCCAGTTAAAATTTAAATATACTTGCTAGGCAAAACATTCAATAAAGCTAATTTCCAGACACTATAATATAAACAAACTTTGATTGTGGTGGCCAGGAAAAAATTAAAACTCATTGTTCTCACACTCAGAGCTGCAGTTGAAATTAGAGCACCTAAGTAATTTGGAAGGTGATCAAAAATTTGGATTAACGAAAATTATAATTTGGGATAAAAGTCTTCTTGTAGCTATCATTGAACCCTTCATTGCCGCCTGGAAAATGACTTTCGAAATGAAAAGAATGAATTTTTTATACAACCGATTGTACAGAATGTCAAATGACAGGAGTACAAAATTTAATTCATTTAAAATTTCACAGTTAAAGATTTATTTTTAATGTTCCCATCTTACTCGAAACATGTTATTTATATTTTGTGCTCTGTTTGGAATTGTCAAAACATGCAGTTTTATTCAAACGTGTTTAATGAAACTTTTGTACTAGAACATCACCACATTCAAGCATAGTAATATAGTTTTAACAAATTGTTCAGTCACTTGTATTGGAAAGTGACCCCTTTGGGTGCGAGTAATATTTCTTACTCACACCAGAGGGTGCCACTTTCCAATTCAGAATTCCCAAAATTGAAAAACTTTTGCAGACTCTGAATCAAGTAAGGTACTATAGGCTGTACTATAAAATATATTTAGGCAAATATTAATTTGAATTATTTCATATCAAGCTTTGTTTTTCCCATTTGAGCTTATGTTAGATTGAGCTAATAAAAAAATACTTAGAAAATTTTTGAAAAGTAGATATTAATAAATGAATTATAATCAAGTTCCTTTTTAATTCTTAAATTTCAAAAACAAATTTATTTAACTAAGTTGTAAAGATAATAAAAATACATGCAAATTCAACAAAAGCATCTTATCATAAGATATTTGTATACGTGTGCATAAGCTTATCACACATTGATTAATAGTTATTTTCTTATAATGATTATTCACAATATCAATACTTTATAATTTATTTCTCAGAATAAATATATGTATTTTAAAAAAATTATTTTCTCTAGTAATTGTATATAAAATTTGAAATTAATATCATAACAATACTTTCTACAAATTTGGGAAAAATTTGTAGTAGGAGTCAAAATTTTCAGTTCTAAACATTGAAGATCAGTTTCCAACTATATATTAAAACTCTAAATAAAAAACTAAAATCTATNAAATATATGTATTTTAAATAAATTATTTTCTCTAGTAATTGTATATAAAATTTGAAATTAATATCATAACAATACTTTCAACAGATTTGGGAAAAATTTGTAGTAGGAGTCAAAATTTTCAGTTCTAAACATTGAAGATCTGCTTCCAACTATATATTAAAACTCTAAATAAAAAACTAAAATCTATATCAAAAATTTATTATAAATATTGATCTATAGCCAATTTTACAAATGGAGGGAGCACAGATATATATTTATATGTAAAACAGACTTGAAATAATAAAGCATTGAATGCAATTTTTACAATTACATTGATATCAAATACAAGTGCAAGGGCTAGGTACATATTACAACAAAAGAACTTAACTACAAATAAATGTCATGAATATAGAATGCATTATAAATTACACATTTACAAAATATAGCTACATTAAAAATAAACTTAACACAAGAAAAATATTAATCAGCAGAATTGGATACAGATGAACTTGCTTATAATCAGGTTGCTTATTACACCTATATTATCAAATATAAAATCCAAAAGAAGTAAATAAGAAAATGCTCGGAATACTTATTTTTTACTTACACAGAAGGAAAAAAATTTGAGTTTTGTTAGTGATTTGGCTTTGTGACTTGGCAATCGTTTAGTGTACAACACTCACAGCATATAATTTGGACAGGAACAGACAGGCATGCATATGTGTAACAGGAGGCCGAATCTATTCGATGTTTTACGCAGCAACATCTTTTATTTATTGCTGTAATTATCACTCACAATTTTTTGTTTATTGGTTGCAAGCGCTGTAGCACTGTGACTTGTCGAACTCATGACAAGACGGGTGAAGGACTTATCGTTACTCTCCATTTCTTATCTACCTAAACTTTTTGCATAGTTTGAACCAAAAGATTTCTTTAAACCACTTATGTTCAAATAACTTAGTATTTGTTAAATTAAGACTTGCAATAAACAAATTATACTGTATCAACTAAATTTTCAATAAAATATGCACAAGTGAGCTCAACAATTAGTATTTAATGCAATTTTCAATAATCTGAATTATATCAAATATAGTAGTTAGGGTGGGTATGTGGGACGAAAAAAATCTTGAAAATTTTGATAATTACTTTATTAAAATATTAATGCTAATAAAATAGAAATAATTGTATTTATCTTAATTAGATTGCAGGTAAAGAAATTTTTTAACATTTCCAGTATCCAACTCAATACCTAAAAATTATAACACAAAATATGAGTTTTTTTACTTCGCCATTAGGGGACTAAATATTTTTTTAAAAGAGTTTTAGGAAATTTAAAAAAAATTATATTAAAACTTTAATGTCATAAATTAAATAAAAAAAACATCTCTTTTAAATTTAAAATGCTGTCTGAAAAAACTTTTTGAGCAATTTTTAACTAACTGAAAAAAAATTATAAAAAAACAAGCATTTATTTAAAATAATGTTCCATACACCTGTTAAATTATCTAGTTTTTTCTTTTTAAAATCAGAAATATTGTGCCTACATTACAATATAAGCGTGTATTAGCATTTTTTACAGGTGTTAACATTTATAAAATAAAAAAATTCTTAGTTCAAAAAGATTAATAAGCATTAACAATAACATTTAGATTGAAGAACTAAAAAAATTAATTGGCATTAAGCATTGAAATGAACTTAAATGATTTATTTTAATGATTTTTAACCACTCATTTACATGATTAAATAAATCTTAATGCAAATATGCCAGGCATTTTATAGATGGAAGATGCTGATTAGAAAATAAGTCTTTTTGAGAATTGGATTAAGAAATTTTTACCATAATTTAGTTCTGAAATCCATTGTCTTCACCCCATCATATGAAATACACAGTGAAGATTGCAACATTAACCTATTTAGTTATCTGATTTAATAAACTGCTTAGAATATATTACTTTGAAAGCAGAATAACAATTTTAAAGCAGAAAATAACAATTAACATTAGAATGATTTTCAGACTTATTAAGTATTACTTTTGAATCTTCCAAAGAAAAATTACCTTTACTTAATATTAAATGCAATATGCAAATAACTTAAGTGAAAATAAAAACTGAAAATTTCTTGTTTACGTGAAGACAATTATCTCATATCCACACCTTAACAAATATCTGTACAAAAACATCACCAATAAAAACCGCACTAAAAAAAACTTATACTGTAATAAAACTTTTAATAACAAAGTAAAAAAATAATAAAAACTATAAGTTTATGATTAATTTTCTTTTTTTTAATTTTATGTGAGTTTATACTTTTTAAATTAGATACAAAACGAAATCCTATTTAATCACTTGAGTTCTTAAAATAATTTTTTTTATGAAATAAAAACGTTACATTAAATTATTTTGATAAAATAACTAAACTTGAAGAGCAAAATTATTATTTTCCTATTTTTAAATTTAACTGGCAATGTCTTAATTTCTACAGAATGTAACATTAGCAGTTCAGTAGATTTTAACTTAGAATATTAAGAATATATTTACTAATATATTCTTGACAAGACAATCATATAATATTTCAAAAATATTACTAACAAATTACAACCTATTAATTCAATATTTATAAGACAAATGGCACAACAAGTGAAAAGTAAAGCTGAGATACAACTACTAAGTTCTGGTGTAGAATATCACCATTACTTAAGCTTAATCTGACAATTACTTTATTATATTTAATATACTTAAAATTTAACAATAAAGCTTAAAAATAAATCTTCTTGGTTTGAACTTTCAAAAATTAAACTTTGAAACAAAACAATAATGATTAAAATAATTTTTTACAACAGTGAGAAAATAAATAAGAGGTAGATTTTACTCACAAGCAAATTAGTTTTGAAATAACAATTAAATAATTTTTTTTTAAAAATATGTATTAATTTCATTTATTAATTTTCTTAAAAGAAAAAAATCTATCTAGCACAAAAAATTACACTGAGAGGAAAAATAAAAACAGCATCACACAGTATTTAAATCACAGTCAAATGTTGCATAGTTAGCATTTTTTTTTTTGTTAAGTCATTTTAAAGTTTTTACAATGTAATATTTTTAATAGAATTTTACACAGATAGTAAAAGATTTTATCAAAATATTTTAATGAAACAATTGTTCAAATATTATAATATCTCTTTTTCATTTATTTATTCTACATAGTTCATTACCACAACACATATATTTGAGGTTATTTTGCACATTTTGATGGCTACACTATCACAAATATAATGTGCATGTTTGAATATACAAATATAAATCTACACACTTTATATTATAAATAGATCTACAAATTTTAAACCAACACTAATAACTTCTGAAAACAAATAGTATTCAATACTTGATTCATTTATATCGTATCACTAAAAGTAGAATTCTTAAAACGAAATTTTGAAATATTTTACACATAAAAATATAGATATTTAACAATTATAGAAAAAATTTATAGTTAAAACATTATTAATTGCTTTCAATTTTTTTTAATAGGTAATTATTTATATTTTTTGTGATTTACCCAAAACTTTCACGTTTATAGTATAAATTAAAAATTTATACAACTGTCCAGAAATAGATATTGAATTAAACGTGGGAGCCAATTTTGTACAAAGAATACAATTCTCAGATTTAAAATATTGTATAAAATGAATCTATAATTAAAACATTTATGTAAATTGTATGAAAATTTTTAACTAGGTAATTACTTAATTCGTTTATTTTATGATTTCCCCATAACTTTGATATTTATTATCAATAAAATTTTTGGCATAAATATGCAGATAAAAGTTTTAATCTTCAAAACGTTTTACATTTTTAATACATATTGCACACGTCATAATTATATACTAATTATAACAGTTTCATTTTTACAAACATGATGTTTTTATGTTATAAAACAAAGAACTATTTTCTTCTTCAGATAGATATTTTTATTGTATTTTATTTACAATGATTTTATAAATTTTGAGTTCAAAATTCATCTTAGAAATATTGTAGCAATTTTATTTTTACCTTAATTTTTTTTTATAGCTTAGAGATACATAAGTATTAATTTACAATTACTCATTTTTTCGGTCATGTATCCAAATGGCTATATATACATTTTTTTCTGTTGGTGGGTTAGAAAAAGAAAACACAAATATTAGCCCCATATTCTCTTTAGAAATCCCATTTTTAAATTTTAAAAATTAAGGTTTAATGATGGTTATATTTTCTTGATAAAGTAGATAAATATCATTTAACTCTTACTTTCACATACAAATTATTCTCTTTAAAATAAAACTAAAAGCTTCAGTGCTAATAGACAACGTAATATGCTGAAAATAGTTGATAATAATGAGAATGACTTTCATATTAACACAAATGAATGAAACTTAGATGCACAATAAAACAAGAAATAACAGTAAAAACAAATATACCACAGGTTTTGAAGATGATATCAGTTAATTACAATATTTCTCTATAACTGCATTTTCTTTTATGCAAATAATTTGGAGTAAACCTGTCGTTCTCTAGCTTTATAGGCTTGCATCTCCCCTCGAACAGCTGCTATTTCAGCCATAACAGCTATTAAAATAAATAAAAAAAAGAAAATATTAATAAATGTAGTTTATGAAATTTTTTTGACAAGTGTAAAACATCTCATAGTCATAATATGTACAGTGCACAAAAAAATAAATAAATGGACCATCCTGAATAACTTTTGATCTAATGATCGGATTTTCACCTTCTAGGGCTCTATCTTAATAAATCTAAGGGTTGACCTCAAAAATACTAATTAATTAGTGCAGACAATTTTTTAAGTTACAAAATCAAACACAAAAACGTACTTTCTCTGAATACACACACTTTTTTGTTGTTGGCGGATTCGGATTTCTGGTCCCTAAAATATAGTCGAAATAGTTTGGTCAGGTGAGCGGTCTGAAGCTTGACCTCCTTCATGTCAATTTTATGAAATTTTTAAGCGAATGAAAACATTTTTGCACACAATAACAAAATTTATTTAGCCAAAGATAATTCCATGCAAAAAATAGCTTTTAATGAATGTTTACTATTTTTTCATTATTTTATTTTATAACATTCGAAAAAAATTAGAATCGTTAGGTATACAACTTTTTACAACATTTTTAAATATGTATTTTTGCATGGAAAAATTAAAAATTTTAGCAAAATTGGTCCAATAATTCCTGAGAAGTTGAATTTTAAAAATACAACTTCTTCAAAATTAGATTTCTCAGAAACTGTTCGACTGACTTAGCTTATATTTTGCAATTTAAAATTGCACTCCTTAAAATAATGCAACAAATTGTATTCCTTACAATTCAAAAATTTTTCGACCATTATTAAATAAAATAATAAATAGATACTAAAAGTTATACTTTGCATGGAATCATCTTTGGACGAACAAATTTTATATTTGTCTGCAAAATTGTTTTAATTAGCATTGGAATTTTTTGAGAGTTGGAGAAATATGTAAAAAGTAAAATTAACATAAAAGGCTGATTTGTAAAATGAAAAATGTTTTAATTCGCTTTGAAATTTCTCTAGATAAGGAGAAATATGAAAAAAGTAAAAATAAAACATGAAGGGGTTAATTTGTAAAATGAAAAAATTTTGCACACAATTTTAAAATTCGTTTATCCATTGATGCAAACAATATTTTTTAGTAAATATATATTATTTCATTTAATAGTAATCAAAACAAATTTGAATAGTAAGGTATAGAATTTTTTAAATTTTAAAGAACATAATTTTAGAAGGCAAAATGCAAAACCTGAGCAAAATCTGTTTAATAGTTCCTGAGAAATCTATTCAACAGAATTTGCAAATACTAATCTTTACAAAGAGGGGCACGAACTTTGGACCGCTCTCCTGATCAAACTATGGGGACCATATTTTCCAGAATGCAGCTACCCCTATATTGCAGGGTTCAGAAATCCAAATCCATCGAGAAAAAAAAGAAGGTAACGTTTATTCAAAGAAAGTACGTTTTTGTGTCCGATTTCATTACTTAAAATACCATCTGTACTTATTAATTAGTAAATTTGAGGTCATTCCCTCAAGCTATTAAGATTGAGTCCTAGAACGTCCTGAACATCCAGTCATAAGATCAAATCTTTTTTTCCTTTTAGGAGGACTGTACATTTCACATTAAAAAAATTAAATATAAGTAGGTGTAACCTGAGTGAAGCTATTTCTGTTATAGTTTCAAAAGTAAGATACAGACAAAACATTTACTTACATTTATCATGTGGCGCAATTTTTCGAGCTGCTAATAAATCAGTCTATAAAGATAAAGAAAAAAAGAAAAGCAATTCAGTAGAGGATTGTCATTATATAGATAATTTAATTTTAAAGAAATAGATGATAAAAAAGCATTAACAGTGTGCAGTCATATTTTCCATCAAAAAATAAGCACCTTTTAGGTACTTTTTAAGCACTCAAAAATTTTTAGCACTAAAAAAAAAAAATTATAACTAGGATAAAAAAAAATATTTTCTTCCTATGGCTAAAAATTCTACATTCATCAAATATGTGCACATAAAATTACCATGCCAAATTTTTTCCGATTTTACAAAATTTACAGATTTTAGCATTGTGATAAAATAACAAGTTTTCAGCAAAGAACTAATTCTTGATTAAATTAACCAAAAAAATAAATTACTTATCATTTAATTCAGAGTTTCTTAATCTATTTTTTTAAATTAATTAACATTAAATTATATTAATTACATAGATTGAAAAACATTAAACAAGATTATAATTATTGAACATCCTGAAATAATAAGAATGTGTAGAGAGTTTAGCAAACTAAAAATAGAAAAAGATTTCTAAAATTGAATTCATATGGCAAATGTAAATTAGTGAATGGCCCCAATTATGTTCTTAATTTAAATTTATAATTTGGTTCAGTATTTTTTTAATGAAATTAATAAAAACATTTTTCCATAATTTTGAAATGAAAATACAATGAGTATTGAAATTAAATATTTTTGTCTAAAGAAAATTATTATTTTCACTATATTTAACAAATCTGAGATACCTGAATTTCCAATTTTAATTATTTATTAAATTAAATGATAGAGAAGAATTAAATATTTTGAAATGAAAAATCTGACTTTCATAAGATTTATAACTGAATATAACAAATTTCTAACTGAATATATTTCAACAAAATATAAAATGCCTAAACACAATGTGAAACAAAAATTAATTTACCTTAGTCTAATTTTAAGGACTTTTATAATTTGCTGGTAACTAAGACAACTTAATTTTTAACATTTAGTTCCACAATATTTAATAAATACTAGAAGTTTCGTGACTGAAAAAGATCTGTGAATAAACTTGTTAAACTGAGCCATACTACTTTTTTTTCAATTGTATAACACATCAAAAGTTCAAATTGGCATTTAAACATTATTTAGCAAAACAGAAAGTGAAAATGTAACTCACTAAACTTCGGTCATAATCACTCAGTGCATGAAAGGCTTGACCTCTTCTATAAAGAGCTTTGGCGTTGGTAGGGTCAATATCTAAAGCCTAGATAAAATAAATAAAATTGTAGGAGTATAAACATTGATAAAAAAAAAATAGAACAGAAGTTCAAAGGTATTTCTAACTTACTTCATCACAATCTTCCAAAGCTCGATCGTATTGCTTTAATTTTAATTTACAAGCAGCACTGAAATAAGTAAATTGAAAGTTGTGTAAAAATTTAAAAAAACAACGGACCTTAATTAATAATTTTTGCTCTTTTATTCAAGATATTTTTTTTAATGTCAGCTGAACACAAGCATACATATGCCTTTAAGTTTCAGAAAAAAAATCAAATAACTTGATGTTAATACCTTTTTTTAAAATTCCATGTATTAAAAATGCTACATGAAATTATTTATATTTGTTGTATTTTTTAAAACATTAAGTAGTAAATTGAATGACTTCCCTTTTATGAATATCTTAACTTGCAAACATTAGCTTAAAATCCTTTCTTGTAAGATATATTATAAACCTACAAAGTTTTTAAAAATTAATTTAAAATTATTAATTTTAGTTGTACAAGAGGAATTTTTGGTTGAAAAAATTTTTAAAACGAAATCTCAATAGGGAGAAAAGTGGCGTAAGATCAAGTTGTGGGGTGAGACCTAGTACCTCGTTTGTGATGAAATTAGTTCTGTTTTCAGAGCTGGGATTTTCAAACTGGGTCCTGTAGCAGATTTTCAGGTGTTATATGAAATTATTTGAGTTTATAAAATTTTAAGATCAATGTTAACAAATTCTAATTTTTCTGTCGTCATTTTCATTTTGCTAACAATACAAACAGAACAAAACTGGACAGAGACCGAAAATTTTTTCCCATTAGAATTTTCTGAAGTGTGAGCAAAGATTTGTCCTGGATTTTTAGTTTTGTGATCAGGGTTGCAAAAAACACTGGTTTTTCCAGAAAAACCTAACCAGGGTGAATTTTTCTGGGTTTCATAGGACTTTTCTGGGTTCTATTGGGTTTTTCTGGGTATTTCAGGTTTTATTGGGGTTTTTTTTTTCAAAAGAGAGGGCAGGGATAGGTACCATATTTTAATATTAACAATTAAGTTTAGTTTTATGAATTGACTTAACATATAGGTAATTAAAGTGTAATTAATAATTAATACAAATAAATTGGTGCAAAATTCAGAAGATAGTTTCTTCTGACATCACAATACAAAATGCTATATGTACATACATAGCACATTTGAAATACATAGCACATTTGAAACTCATTTTAACACAGGATTACTTTTTATTTACATTCTAATCTTAAAAAATATTTGAGGAAATACTTTTTTTTTTTTTTTTTTTGCATAGAAAGCGAATCAAAGGCACTGACTATGGCCATACAGTCAAATCTAACCAGGAAGATGACTCCAGTCTATAAACGCCGTTCATTTCATAGATTCATTTTTTTAGGCTAGACTACATATATATTTCAATAAAATAGCTCTTTAATATAACAGAGGATAAATAAGAAATCAATTTTAGAAAAACCCACTTTAGGGTGGGTTTTTTGCAACCCTGCATGCATTCTTGTCATATTGGAGAAAAGATAATATATTATTTTCTGTCAATGACAAAATTAGATTTATAGATTATATTTTTATGTTTTATAGAACTAAAAATGTTGAAGATAACAACATTCATGACTGAACAAAAGTTTCACTGGCCCAGAACTAATTTTAATGTGGGAACCTTCTTCAAAGCACACAGTCATATTTTGTAGAAGTTTTGAAGATCCTTAATGTAAAATTGTAATTTTTATACAAATATAACAAAATTTTCAGCAATTTTCTCCCACAGGCCTTTGAATATTTGGTACCCTGTCTTACCCCACAATCCCCTAAATACATATTGTGTTTACATATGCATACATATATATATATAGAAATTTAGCACATAAGGTATTTTGCATAGATAAATATAGCAGGCATAAAAAAATAGGTATACAGTGTTAAAACATTAAAGTAGTTCCTATTAAATTTCCATTACACGTTTAACAGCCATTATTAAGTAAACATCAAATAAAGATTGTACATTACCTATTTAAAATACAGGGAACAACTATGGGACTTGTCCTTTTATCTAAATTTGGTACATTTTCATGAAGTTCATGGAGTTTATTTAGATACCTACAATATAAACACAATATTATAATGCAAGCTAACACACGAGAATTCGTATAAATTTACAGATAAAATTTAACTTTTACCTCAGAGATTTTTTGTATTTTCTAACAGCACTGTAATAATCATCTTTTTTAAAATATATATTTCCAGCCCATTTTATTTTCTCAGCAATGCATAGTATTTCATCAATCTATAATGCAAAATATTTATTAAAATTAAAAGAATTTTATAGAACAAACAGAACAAGCATGAAAAATAAACAAATACGATCCTGAACCTATAACATTAATTTTAATCATTTAGTGATGAAGACTTCTCACTACAGGGTATACCTTTATGGTAATATGACATATCAATAATTAATAATAAAAAAAATAATAAACTTAAAACATATCAACACTGGATTCCTGACTTTAATTCATCATAGTGAGGAATGACCAAAAAATTAGAAAATTTTAATGTCATTAGTCAGAAATTAACCCTCTTTACGAAACGGACATGACACAACTTGACTTCAATGCACTTTAAACATAAAAAAAAACAATTAGCTTTACAAGATGAACACTACGAAAAATTCAATTTTAAAAAAATAAAGACAAATAATTGATAAAATAAATAGTAATTCACATGAAAGAAAGTTTGATTATAAAATCTAAGCCAAACTATAATATTTTGAATTATTTTACCAGTAAAAAGCCATATGCAATTTTAGGAACAGTAAAAATTAAATAATTTTTCTTACATCATTGAAATCCAGATCAGAATCTTCAGGAAAATTTGCATATGTGTCATCAGTTCCATCATTTTCAAACAGACCAAAATCTTGACCAGGCAGAAATTCTCCAGAATTCTCTATTATACAAGACTGCAAAAAAATGACAGTTGTAAAATTGAATGGAAAATACTTCCTATTTACTCAAAGAAAATTTATCATTTACAATATAAAAGTATAAATGGTATCAGAGACTATAGAGAACTGCCTAAAACGCTTTGTTACTATAATTGAAATTTACAAGTCTTATTATTTTAATAAAAACACACGTTTTATTTAATAATGTAAGGTTACTAAATTTTCTTTTTATAAGTGCATTTGATTATAAAATTAAGTTACAAGAAATGAGTAGCATAAATTTTAGACAGGAAAGGAAAAAAATATACATTAATATTCTTTTTTTAAAAAATTAGTTTTTTAAAGCATGATTTTTAAGATTTTCAATTTAAGAAAAAGGAAAAATATTTATTTTTTAAATATTCAAGTACATTTTTACACAATGCAATTACTGTATAATTAAAACCCAGAATATATTTTGGCATTTTCTAGTTTTTTAATATTCAAATATAAATTTTTACAGTTCAATTACAGTATAATTAAAATATAGCATATAAAAATCATAAATTACACATGGTTTTAATAATAATAAAAAATTATTTTATATTAAATATTCTTTCCACAATTGTTTAAAAATTTTGCATTGTTCAATTAAAAAAAAGTTTTAAATGCAGAAAATATAATTTTAAATTATTGAGACATTGAAAACAAATAATGAATTTTAATATAGTTTCTTTTTACAAAGTCGAATGTCTTGCAAACATAACATGTCAATCGTCACACATTAATACTGAAATATATGCAATATGCAAGCTATTCAAACATAAAGCAACACGTTAAAGTGTTGAAGATTATTTTCTGTTAACTGATATTGTAACAAAAACAAGTAAAGAGTATGCGATGTAAAAAAATTAGTATATTTAGAGAAATAAAATAAGGTGAATGTGTATGCTCTATCAATTAGGCTTGATGATATGTATTTAATAGATGGAATATAAGATAAATTTCGAGGCTCGAGGAGAAAAAGAATGCCACTCTATTTGACAATTTATTATTCATTTCTTTTCCAATCTAAAATTCAAAAATAACTTTTCTGTCACCAAACCATATTTAATTGGAACATAAAACCAGATCTTACACATTATTTAATGTAGGGAACTGCGCTGAATCATAAATTTTTTTAACAAATACAAAAATGAAAGGGCTCTTTTCAAACTTCTCATGAGGTTACTATTTTTATCTTCGGAAAAAGCGGTTTAACAATGATTGCCGAGCACACACTCAATATTTAGGAAGTAAGAAAATTTTGTAGAATGACAAGAAAAGCATTAACTTTATGATACGATCTTCTTAGATAAGAAGTCATTAATGCACTGAAAATAGTTAATAAAATTTAACAGAAAGGTCCACGTTTTAACAATTTAATATGGCAGACATTTATTGAACAGAGGTAATTTAGAAAACTGCAAGGAGATTTTTAAATGGCAGAACTAAATACCTGTTAGATTCAGTATACAGTTTGAAAAGAATACACTGGTTAATGCATGCATTTCAAAACTAGACAATCAATAAAAATAAATAAAACATATCTTTAAACAACTTTTAATGTGCGCGTGTCGGTAAACATAGAGAAAAAAATCGTAATTCAAAACATTAGATTTTTAAACCTCAAGCGGTTTAGTAAATGGGCAAAATTAGACGAATGTTTCGCCCTAATACACCATTTCCCTACCTAATGATATGGAAAATAACAGGTTTTGCTATAGGGAGAAAATTGCATGTTAAAATAAAACCTATCTTTAAACAACTTTTAATATGCGTGTGTCAGTAAACATATTTTGAAGAAGAAAAAAATAGTGATTTAAAAAAAAAAAAAACATTAGATTTTTAACCCACTGGCGGTTTAGAAAATGGGCAAAATTAGGAGAATGATTTTCCCCCAATACATTATTTCCCTATCTAATGACAAGGAAAAACCAGTTTTTCAATGGGGTTTTTCCACATATTAAAATAAGACTTTATTTGCAGAACTGTCAGTGGGTTTAGACACGCAACAAAAATTCAATGCAATAAAATAACATTTTTACCAACCTCTAACGGAGTATCATTGTCAGTGATTTGACCTTCTAATTCTGATACAACACCCAAACCATACTTCACTTTACCAAAAACAACATGCTTATTATCAAGATGTGGGGTGGGTACAGTGGTTATGAAGAATTGACAGCCATTAGTATTAGGGCCACTATTAGCCATACTTAATAATCCTGGTTGATCATGCTAAAAACAGAAGAAGAAATTTTTTTTTAAGACCCAGGAATTTCTAAAAGACAACATTTAATAACTTAAGAATTTTATGTGCCTAGAATAATGCTAGACTTTACAATAACATAAAAAAATCACTGCAAATAAAAACTTTCATAAAAAGCGCGCTGTAACAATCTATCAATTTTTTTAAAAAAATTTTAAGTAAAATAATATTTTTACAGGATTAAGACTTGCATGTGGCAGAATTGAGGCTACACTGTGAAATTGTTGCAGAACATTACCGAGTTTTTGCAGAAAGATTTTTCATTCAGGAAAAGAAAAAAAATTAGTATTCCTTTCTGCATAATTTTTCGATTTTTTTTTTCTGCAGAATTTTTTTCAAAAGATTTATTTCTTGTGTATCAGAGAGGAAGAAAGAAATAATTATGGATTTTCCATTCTCATTTTGGATTGAAAAAAAAAAGTAATGAGTCGCTTCAGCTAGAATGTCATATTAATAACATAAAATTAAAAAAATTCAGAAATCGCGAAAGTTTAAAAGATAGTTCTAGAAATGATGATTCTTTCATTTTTTCTTCTTAGTTTAGTATCTCTTTTTTAAGAGTCCTATTCGAGTGATTTCGTCATCGGTCTTTATTTTGGAGTTACTGGACGGATTTTACAATTTTTAATTTATGTACGAATTTTAATTTTTGTAATGATTTACAAAATTTGAAAGAGGAAATAATTAGCTGATTTTTCCGCATACAATATGTGAGAAAGCGCCTAAAATATTAGAATTAAAATATTACTCTTACAATTAAATTTTTTTATGTTTTATTCGATACTTTCTTCTGTAAACACTTTAAATTAATAATTGTCATAATTAAATGTATCTTTAAAAAATAATAATAGGGAAGGTTGTCGCAGAAAGTCTGAAAAAATTCTGCCACAGGAAAAGACTTTGTTAATTTATTTAACAAAAAATAAAAATAAATTGTACAATAAAAATAGATTAAAATTTCTTTTAAATGTGTTTTAATAATAATTTTTAAAAAAAACTTAGGCATACCATTAAGTCAAAGTTTTCATCCTCAAAACTATCACCATAGATACTTTCTGAGCCCTGGCCATTTCCATGTATAAAATCCCCTCCTTGAATCATAAACCTACGAATAACTAAAATTGAAAATAGAACAAATAAGAAAAAAAAATATTTTTTAATATTCTTTCATAGATGCTTATATCTAGCTAATTTTATAGGGCATTACATGAACTTCAATATTAAAATTAGTTGATTGCAGTTTTAAATTTTAATTAAAAATCAAATAGTGTTAAAGTAAATAAATGGTTTAAATTAGCATATAAGAAAATGGAACAAATTATAGAACTCAATTTTTTTAGAAATTAAAATTCCAAACCAAGAAAAATTCATTTCTGTTTGGTACTAACAACAATTTCTTTTTTTTTTTTCTTCATAATACTAATAAAGCGATATTTGTAAAATTAAAAACAAGTTTATGAAATATTTACCACTAGACATATAAGATTTTATTTACCTTGTTAAAGAGCAAAAATTGACATAATTATGTAATATCATTACAGCAATAACTGACACTACTGTACAAATCATAATTATTGTTTATGGCAATTCAATTCAAGTATAAAAATCTTAGTTTCTTTTACATTAGTCTCATTTCCTTTTAGTTTCTCCCATATACATAAACTAAAAACTCAGTGGTGTGACAGCCCATAGAGGGCCAAGGCCTACTGTGCCCATCTCAGTTTTCTTGACCCTGGGCTTTGGGGTGCAGGAGCAGATGTTCCGGTTAGGTGGTCAGCTGAACGTGAAACCTCCACCGATATACATAAGTACATGAAAATCAATGAATACTCATATTTTCATACTAAATTGCAGTTGCAATCTTAATAGTTACAAAGGAAAATCTCAAGTAAGTTATTGAGACATACATTTACAGAAGTCACAAATCGCTTTTAATAGGTATGGAGGATACATAAGTTTCAAAATATGGGGAGAAGCTGAAGTTAGAAAATGTGATCTCGGTTGTAACAAAAAAGTAAAGTTGATGAAAGTCTAATTAGCTTAAAGTGCTTGCAACCTGTTTCAGTCAAAGATCCATTTGTAAATTCAGGTACCACAACAAATGACTAATGATAGTGTAAAATATGTAAGCTATTTCAAACACATGGCCTCCCTAGTAAACAATAAATCATTTGCAATTTAAAGCAGAATTCTGCAGAAAAGTGGAAAGTCTGACCTTTATTAAATAAAATGAATAAAAGAGACATGAAAATTTTGAGGTGGTGAAGCTATGCCGTCTGTCATTTCACTTTTCTAAACTAGCATGGAAAATCTTAAATTAAGATTGATCCCCAGGTTCAATGATTGTGGCACTGATCTATAATTAAACAGTTCACTAACATCAGCATCATTGGCTTTCAAACAACATGAAGGATGCGGAGGGAGGTCGACATGCAAATTTTGTGTGCATCGCATTTTTATCATAATTAAAAGGCTTATTGAAAATAATTTTTAAATCATTCAAAAGAGGAACCAAACATCAAAATAAGGATTAAAACAGACTTTACTTTGAAACTCTCTGGAGGAAAAAAGAAGACTAGTTTAGAATTCTGAATTTATTACTAGTTGCGTTCATTTAATTTTGAAAACTTTTCAAAATAATTTCATCAAGAGTGTATTTCTGAAAATAATTAAACAAATCAAAGTATTTTAGAATACAACTAAAAAGCCCATTTACCTAACAGGGGTCTGTCTAGGTTTTTCTGAGAGGTACCTATTTTGTGAAAATTTAGACATAATTTGTGAAAAATTAAAAATTATATTAAAAGATCAACACAAAAATAGGGTAAAAATATGGATTTATCGTTTCTTAAGGGATAGAAAAATAAAATTTTAGGAAAAAGAATATTGTGAAACTACCGTTTTTCCTGAAGTTGAATTTGTGAAGGTACCATTAAACGGTAGTAAATTTGGCCTGGACAGACCCCTGCCTAAGCACAGTTTAATGCAAAATAATTTTAGTAGTTCCTATATATTCTAAATGAATTTAACTAAAATATATCATTGAATTATTCGCGATCGCAAGGCTCGAATATACCACNCCTGTCGACGAAATGACCCTGTCGACGAAATGACCCTGTCGACGAAATGACCCTGTCGAGGAAACGGCCTAGTCGATGAAACGGCCTGTCGATGAAATGGTGTGTCGATGAAATGAATGCGACCCTGTGAAGGTACCGCTAAACGGTAGTAAATTTGGCCTGGACAGACCCCTGCCTAAGCACAGTTTAATGCAAAATAATTTTAGTAGTTCCTATATATTCTAAATGAATTTAACTAAAATATATCATTGAATTATTCGCGATCGCAAGGCTCGAATATACCACCTCGGGAGAAGACCGGTTTCATGTCTTGACCCTACCCCTCATGTCTTGACCTTCATCCTCTTCTCAGTTGTACAGGAATGTCATCATCATCACAGTTGGCCAAACAGCCCAATGCCTTCCTCTGAAGATTTCTCCATGACGATTTCCGATTTATCTTTGTGTATCGGAATGTCCTACAATATTTTCTTCTTTTTTTTATTTAATTGTTAAAAATATATTTTTTAAATTTACAATACGTTTTCATTTAGATCTATGTTCAATGCAGTTTTCAGTTCCACATAGTTTCCTAACTTAAAAGTTTTAATCTATTTGAAAATCAAGACAGAAACTAACATACTTCCTTCTCCTATGACTCAAAGCATGTAAAGTGTTGCCATAGGTGGAGAGTTCTGTTCTACGTCACCTGTAGGCCATTTCGATTGCCAATAAGGTTTGCAATTAATTAAAAAAAATTTTCAATTATACAAATACTGAGTTAATTAATTAATTTCAAAAGTTTGATTTATCTTTTAGACAAAAAATGTAATAGGGGCAGGCAGTGGTTATGGACTTTAACACTTCNTTTATGCACCACTATTTCTAATGAATTTGTAGGCTTATGCAATTCACCACTTTATCGAACTTATGGCATGTCATACCTTTTAATAAGCAAGCAAAAATAGTCAAATATTTGCAAAATTTACTTCGAAGTTATATACCGTTTTTTAAATTATTTTGACGTGTTCGGAGCAGTTGGCATCTCTGCTATGACTCAAAGCATGTAAAGTGTTGCCATAGGTGGAGAGTTCTGTTCTATGTCACCTGTAGGCCATTTCGATTGCCAATAAGGTTTGCAATTAATTTTAAAAAAAATTTAAATGATAAAAATACTGAGTTAATTAATTAATTTCAAAAGTTTGATTTATCTTTTAGACAAAAAATGTAATAGGGGCAGGCAGTGGTTATGGAACACCATATAAATTTAAACTTTAACACTTCAGTAAAAAAAAAAAAACGTGTAATAGTATATTCAAACTAATAATTTACTGAAAAAAATCCTCTCGTTCTTAACTATACCTTGATTTTTTAATAAAACAATACAGTAAATAAAATAATTTGATATTAAGCCACATTTAGCAAAAATGAAAAAGACATTACCTCGATGAAATGTTGCTCCTTTGTAATGCAGGGGTTTTCCAGAGTTTCCAATTCCCTTCTCTCCTGTACAAAGAGCTCTGAAATTTTCTGCTGTTTTAGGCACAACATCTTTAAACAATTCAATAACTATCCTTCCAACTGTAAGAAAATACTTATTAATAGCTCAAAGAAAGTTTAAAAAAAAACTTACATATTAGTTAAAATAAGGAGAAAATTAAAATTTATCTTGTTAGGAATGTTTTACACGTTTCAAAAATTTACTAGTGTACTTTATCATAGAGACCTCTAGCAAAAACTTACAATGAATTGCCGAAGGTGATTAGACTTTAGGTATGCTACATAGGAATAAAGTAGCAGATGTTCTAGCATTGTTCTCTCATTGTTATTGTATCATTGAAAGCTTAAAGTTAATAGCTAGTATTCATTGTTATTGTTTAATTAACTTTCTAAATAACAATATTTACTATTTACATTGTCATGATCTCATTATAAATAACATTAATTTTGATAGGTTAGTATGATTAATGGGGATATTTCCGAATCATGATTAGCTGAGCTAACTACAATTGCCAAGGTGCCAAATAGATTTTGATCTTGCAAATTTTTTCCAAATAAAACAAGTAGATGTTAATCCAAGGGGGTGGCTACAGGGGAGATTTCCGTATCATGATCTGTGGCAGAATAATCACCAAGTCTTGGAAAATTCCGGGCAGTAACCCACAAGAAACTAAAAAAAAAATCTTAGAAAGGGACGAACTCAAAAGGTATAACTCGCAGTCACCCCGAGCAAAGATCTACATGTTTTTTTTTAAAAATTTGCAAGTTTAAAATAAATTTGGCACCTTGTATTTGCTGATTGTAGTTGGCACGACAGATAACTATACAGAAATATCCCCCGGCTACAAGTTATATTTTTCGAGATGGTCTCTTTCTGTGATTTTTTTAGTTTCTAGGAGGGCTCTGCCCGAAAGTTTCCAAGACTAAGCGCGATTATTCTGCTACAGATAAAGAAACGGAAATCTCCGCTAGTTAAGTTACACATATAAGTTTAGGGGTCTGTCGTGGTTTTTCTGAAAGGTACCTATTTTGTGAAAATTTAGATATAATTTGTGAAAATTAATAATTACATTAAAAAACCAACACAAAAAAATGATAAAAATATGGATTTATCGTTTCTTACTAGACACAAAATTAAAATTTTAAGAAAAAGGATTTTGTGAAACTACCGTTTTTTCTAAAGTTTAACTAACAATCACTCTTCTTATCTGAGAACCAGAGTAAGAGAGACATGTCTTGGATTGTAGAAACTGTTGCTGTTTTCTTTTAAGGAAACTAAGTTTTTCTAATTGAACAAAATGCTTTAAAGAATATCTACATTAACACCTGTTACTCATTAATAAAATACATAAATCGTTCTTCAAACTATTAAAGTCTCAAAAATAGAAGTGTTTGGAAACATTCTGTATAATGTGTCCGAGTTTAATTGTTTATAAACATCCTTTCAACATAATACTTGGGAATATAATACATACTGTATTACATTTTATAAATTGCTGGATAGAAGTTGATACAAAATAATAAAAATTACATTGGCAAAGAATAAGCTAAAATAATAGCACGTAATATGTTTTATTTACAGACAGACTAATGTAAACAAATGAAAGAGAAATGGATTTCTCTGATAATCAATATAACAATTGATCAGACCTAATGCTTCGACATTATATGTGAAATAATCTTTATAAATAATTAATAAATTTAAAAATAAAAGGCAAGATTAATCTAGTTTTGGTTTTAAAGAATTATGTTTTGGTTGACAAAAGACACACAACTTGCTTTTATTTTAAAGAATAAGTTAAAGAAATACACTAAAACTATAAATATAGTATGTGAGATGATGGCATATAAGGTGAAGGATAAAGTATAAACCTTTTTCTTCTCCGACTTTGACATCTAAAAACACGTGTGGATTTCCAGACACTGGAGCAGACCAAGCAGACATCTTGAAATGTCAGACAGCAGAAACACCGGCAAAATAAGTGATGCCAAATCAGAAAAATATTATGCACAGCAAAATGTTTTTAACGAACCTCAAAAGGTCATGTGGCGCTGTAATCAAAACAGTCTCCCTTTGGTCAACAGACAAAAAGTCAACACTGCACAAAAAGATTTCGACACATCTCAGTCGTAAAATCTTTTGAAAAGTTGCTGTTAAAAATACTTAAAATGTATAACTCTATCTTAAAGTGAAAGCTATTATAATGATATACGAGTTTGAAAATTGATTTCACGAGTTTGCATTACAAAATAAAATAAAAAATTGCGTCAAGCTTTGTATCTGACAAGTAAAACTTTTCAAAATTGGTTGTCAAAAATAGTTTTTTCATTTTTTAAAAAAANTGTTTATTTTATACATGTGCTAATTTCTATACTACTATTAATGTCTGATAATTTCTTTTTATGTTGTTTAATACCTTACTATGTGTTGTATATTGTGGGTAAGTTTCATAAAATTCCATGTGTAATTTCTTGAGTCATCGCGATTTTTGTGAATTTTCCTTAATTTATGATAACCAGTGTAGTTTTTTCATTTTTTTTAAAAAAAGGAACAAATCGTATTGTTTCCATGGACATTTACAAAATTACAACTTTTCAACATAAATGGTAATTTTTAACTGAGGTGAAAAAAGAAATCGAAACAAGGTCAATCTCAGAAATTTTCACAGGTAGTTGCAGCCAAGAAAAAAATATAATGATAATAATTAAAAAATCATGCATAAATTTATTTATTCTTTAATTATTTCTGAGAAATATTTTTGCAAGTATACGACAAGTTATTTTCATAAGTTACACATAATAACTAGATTTAAATACTCAGTTTAAAATATTAATAACATATAAATTTTAATACATTTTAAAATTAACAAAAATAATTTTTGTTTAAATTCTCTTTTATTAAATAAAATATGAGCAGAAAATACAATCTAGTTCTAATTTTTTTTTTAATTTTCTAATATTTTAAATAATGTATTCATCTTTCAGTATATCTTCTAATTTGAAGGAAAAAGTATATTAATTATACATTAAATTTGAAATGAAGCTTTTGCGCTCAGTTTATGAGATTGAAATGGATTTTATATGACACGTTACTAGCATTATTTATGTTTGTTTAAAATAAAAATCAATAACATTTTAAAGTAAATTAAATAATAATTTGAATGATTATTGCTTTATTTAATTTCCGGGGGTTCTAAATGAATTTTTTTATTCCTTGGTGGCGAACATGGACCGAAAGTGTATCAATGGAAATTAAAAAAAAAAAAAAAAAATTTTCAAATTCATGTTACGGAACCTGCTTTTTAGTGTTTTTTCACGCCGTTTTTTAAAATCGCATACCGCATTTAAGTCGCAAAACTTTTTAAAAACTTCAGTCAAAAATACGAATTTACTTTGTTGAAAATACGACGGGAATTATAGGAAAACTTACATTGCATTTGAATCGCATAAATTAATTTAAAAAAAGGTTAACAAATTTGCATCGAGGCGGAGAATTTACTTTGATAAATGACATGACATGAGTAGAAATTGCAATAAAAACTCAAAGATTTTACTTTACAAGTTTGCTTTGAGGATCCTACTTGTTGACGCTTTCTCATACTTTTTTTTTTAAATTGTTCCACACTCTATTAAATTATGTTTTATTTCCTGATACCATCACAGTTTGTTGCCATGTCTATCATTTTAGAGTATTATTATTTATTATAAAATTTTATTTTATGATACAAAATGAAATTTGTAGAAAACCCCTTATCATTCAAAGCTTCCCCCCCCCAAATGCATACTTAGAAAACTGGTAGAAACTTTTTAAATTTACAAGATATTCAAATCGGACTTTTCTCATTGGTTACCAATCTTTAAAGATTTTCTTAGATAATTTAGGAATGATATTTTTATTACTAAGAAAAAATTGCTCCAAAAATTTTGTTTAATTTTATTGAATATTTCTGCAGTTATAGTAAGAAAATGTAATTCCAAAAATTAATTTTTTATGAAAATGTCCATATTTCTGGAAATATTTAAGCTAGATTTACGAAATGTTTTTCAAACAATTATATCATATGATAATCAATGCAATTGAGATGATTTACAAGCTTATCACAGTATTTTTGTCATGGGGTGTACGAAGACATTCTTTTTCGTTCGTAATTTATTGCCTGTCCCTTAAACTCCTAAAAGCTTTAAACTTTATTGACATGTATGAGAAATCGATGCTAAAGTTTTAAAATAATTCTTATATATAAAGGCCTGTGTTAAAGAAAAAATTGCCTGATTGAACTTTGATTGAATTTATTGCCTGATTGAACTTTTAGTTGTTTCTAACAATCCCTTTTTAAGGATTATAAGTTTCCTCAGGCAACCAAACAAGTTTTAATGTTTTTAGTCCCGTCCAATAATAATAACCAGTTGTAATTCGTTGGGTTTGGATAGCGTTTTTGCTTTTGTCCTTGCTTAAGCATTTATTTGTGTTTCCTAATGTATAAACTCTTTTTTTCCTCCACAAGGATTCCAAAATTATGTGTAAAGCGCGGTCATTACAAAACACCCTGTATATTGTATGTGTCAATAATATTTCTAATAGATGGTGCTTAGTACAATGTATTATTAATTAGTTCAGATTCGACTCAACATTGCAACATAATCATTAAAGTTTCTTGTTAACATGGGTGAAAGCGAGACGGAAAAGAAGAAGAGCTGTTAGTAAAACCATTACAGTTTTATCTATTTTCTTCTTTAAATTATTTTAGCAATATCCGCTCTTTCTTCTTCTTTTTTTCCGATAGAAAGCGGTTTTATATACATAGTATAATTGTAAAAAAAATTCTTGGTAGTAACAGAAATGTATCATTTTTTTTTTAGAAAGAAATGCTAGAATGAAAAGCCTTTCGTAACAGTTTTTACTCTTTTGGGCCTTGGTATACGTAGGCTTCTAGCCCTGCTTGTCATTAAATATTTACTGTCATAAAATGTGTTTGTAACAATTCGACACATGCAACTCATAAGGAATTAAGATTCATTTCATCAAACGTGGATAAAGAAACAGGAACTAAGAAACGAATAATTGAACCCCGAAAATATTGTATTCCACAGGTATAAAAAACTATACAATAATCCAAACAAAATACATCCTAAATAACTTTTTACCTATTTATCGTCTTCTTATTAGTTGTGTTACGAAATCAGACAGAAAAATGCGGTTTTTCTAAATAAACATAATGTTTTCGAGATGGATTTCGATTTCTGACTTCAAAATTCATGATTTAAACAGTTTAAAAATATTTAAAAAAAAAACAGTGCAAAAATTGCTTCTCCTTTTAACCAATTTTCTGAAGATATAAATTATCTAGCTCATTCGTCCTTACCTTAACATATTTAACTTAAGTAACTTAACTTATACAACGCCTTAAACATTATAGTTAAAACGAGAAAATTTTATCTACTTTAATCATAAATTTGCTAAGGACTTTACGAATCGTAAATTCGCAGGCGCATTCGTAGATGTTCGTAAAAGAGAGTGCTAAACTTTGAGTAGGTGGTAATTGGGGTATCCTTATTCCTATTCTAAGGTGTTAAATGGTATCTTGAAGGAAAAATTACCTATTTGCAGCTCTGTATCACCTTCGAATTTGTAGGTGGGAAAGATGATGATGACCCGCATGTAAGTTTTTCTAGTGACAACGGTGCCTTGTTTGTTTCCTCTACGGTTTAAGACAAAAGATTCTTTATACTTCGTCAAGGTACCTTCTGCCTCAGTGCTGCACTGTTAAAGGGGAAAAACATATATAATTCTCGACGCTCTAACGTGAACTATTTTTAAAGATTCCCCTTTTCATATTAAGATAAATCACGCATTCGAAATCACATCTTTCAAATTTCATTTCGTAAAACCAAGGAACCCCAGACCAAACATGTTATCTTTCGCCTTTTTGGCGCTTTTTCGGAAATCATTCTACGATACCAAACAATTATTTAAAAAAAAAATAAAATCGAATACAATTTTAATAAGTTTTCTTTGATGCAATAAAAAACTAGGTATTCCAAATTGAGAGTCAAATTTTAATATTTTATGCATCGAACGGCTTTAAAAAATGCCCTTAAATCCATTGATTCAGAAAATGCCCCATAACCCATTTCAAATAAAGAAGAAGTGTATATCATTACTATTTATTTTGAAGAAACAGCATTGTTCTNAAAAAAAAAAAAAAAAAAAAAAAAAAAAAAAAAAAAAAAAAAAAAAAAAAAAAAATCGAATACAATTTTAATATAAGTTTTCTTTGCAATAAAAAAGTAGGTTTTTCTTATTGAGAGTCTAATTTTAATATTTTATGCATCGAACGGTTTTAAAAAATGCCCTTAAATCCATTGGTTCAGAAAATGCCCCATAACCCATTTCAAATAAAGAAGAAGTGTATATTATTACCATTTATTTTGAAGAAACAGCATTGTTCTATCTATCTTCTTACATTAATAATACGAGTTATAATATTTGTATTGAACTCAAAGAGCAGAGATTCTTGAAACCTCTTTTTCGCTCTCGTCAAAATGATAGAGTTTCACTCTCTATTTCTGGTGCCCGTGATATTTTCGGGATAGAGTGTTTAAAAGTAAATGAGCAAAAAGATTAAAACAATCGATTTTTTTATGCCCGGAATCCTGTTTGTTTCTCAATTCAGTACCAGACTAATAAACGACAGTCATAATTACCTCAAATGTTATAGAGTCATATTTATCCTAAATACAAACTAGTCTTCGTGGATGACTTTTTGATGGAACTAATACGAGTTTGCGTTATAAGGAGAGAAAAGTCACGAAAATATTCGACGGTTAGCCCGACAGCAAGGTGATTCTAACCCATGATATGTCTACTAATGAAGATATTTTGCATCAGCACTGTGGTCGATGCGAGCCGGGAGCTGAATTCGTATAAACCAGCAACCGCTATGATTGGAATCTGCCTCACCCCATTAAGAGGCGAATGCTCTATTTGAGTTCTCAATTCCTCAAT